ATATCCTTATTATATAAAATTCAGAGAATTTTTGTGCATTTGATTTATCTGATGCTCTCCATATTTTAAATACACACTCCTTATAAAAGAGAAAAGAATGGTTAAAAATTGCCTAGGAGTAAAAGGTAACCTATTAGTGTTTTTTTCCTGAGACGGTGCTGTCACCTGCAGGAAACAGCCTGGGTCAGCTAAATGACAAAATTTTCTCCATTTGTCCTAAGAACTCTGTGAAGTACATGATACTTTATGTCTCCTTTTATTGAGAAGTATATGAGTTATAGGCAGGTATATAAATATGTTCAAGATAATCTAATAGAAAGTAGCAGAGTCAGAATTTCAGCCAGTACCCTGAGTCCAATGTCTTATGCATTAAAAACATTGTCAATACCTAATGTACTGAATAACATTATAAATAAATGACTAATATTTCACTTATCTGTTTATAAACTACGTAGAAAATGGTAATCACGAAATCTTGATTATTTATATGAACATTTTGACATTTTGAGTGTAGTTGATATGAAATATAAATATAAGTACTGTAGCACTGTCCTCCCATTGTTCATCTATTTGCTCGAGCAGACCCAGTAACCTCTCTATTGTGAGATTTGTTGTTACTGTGTTTGGAATATGAAATACGTCACACATAGCTTGCCAGGCTTTGCCATGCAGGTGAGATACTCTTGATAGCTTGCCGGGCTCTCCAAGAGGGGCGGAGGAATCGAACTTAGGTCCGCCGGGTTGGCCACGTGCAAGGCAAACACCCTGCCCACTGTGCTATCGATCCAGCCCAATATTAATATAAATATAAATATAAATATTATATAAATAAAATATATGATATGCAGTACATATTTTAATATGCAATCTATTTAATATATGATGTCTATATTTATATGATGTATTTAATATTATTTTATATAAAATATAAGTAAAATATAAATACATTTATAAAATATAAAATAAAATTTAATGTAGAAAATGTGATGGCTTTTGGTTGGCATGAAACTATCACCATCTTGAAGATGATAAACATATCCACTAAATCTGAGAATTTCCTTCTACCGTCTCCCATATTTTGTGATAAAAAAATCCAAAATACATTATAAGAAACTGAAAAGTCTTAGCATGCTTTGTTATACATCAAAGCTTTTGGGCTTCAGCCACTGACTTTCATCATCATAAAATCTTCTAAAACATAAAGCACACATTTGTGGAGGGAAAATGATTGCTTTAATCAATACACAGAAAAATTAAGCGTCCTCCTTTGCATGTGACAGACAAACTCTTTAGACAAGGAAATACTAAAAAGTTCAAGGACTGAACAATTAAAATCAATTCTGTTTTGCTTAAATCAGAAGTGAATGGTTAATTGGTAGACAAAGCCTAGTGTATTAGATTCCTTCAAAATACCAGTGAAATAATAATTAATAAGATATTTTAAAGACACTATAATTTATGATACTGATTTACTTTGAAAATGGCATGGATAAATTTGAGATGTTTAATTATTTTATTTTTGTCTTAATTTTGGAATTCCAACCAAAGAAATTAAGTTAGTATGCATATATAATATATACATATGTATATTCACACACATACATATACGTATATATTTGCTTTGGTTCTAATTAAGAATATCTTTAATTGCTTGGTATTAGTCTTCACTTACTAATGATTCAAGAAATGTTGTCAATTATATTATCATTTTACTTTAAGTTACAGTAAATTAAGTGAGCAATTATTCCTAATGAGCTCCCCTACAAATATGACTGTACATGTACCAAAGTTAAAGGAATAATTTGAACCACAAATGACATTATTATCATGGGAATTATAATATTGAATTGGTTTGGCATCCCTATTTAGAACCCAGTTATGTGTGTTTTTTTTTACTACAACAAAGCAACATATATTTAACATTATATCAACATTTTTTCAGTGAATAGAAGCTTATTTTGTACAGTGAAACCCCTTCAGTTAATTACATTTTTGTAAGGAGAAAGTCTGTCATCTGTAACCACTGAAAGCAAATAGGGAAAATGATGTCATAAATATTAAATGTTATTTAAGGTTTATACAAGAAAATCTTATTTAAAAATTAAAAGGTTAGGGGCTGGAGCAATAGTACAGCGGGTAGGGCGTTTGCCTTGCACGAGGCTGACCCGGGTTTGATTCCCAGCATCTCTATGGTCCCCCGAGCACCGCCAGGAGTGATTCCTGAGTGCAGAGCCAGAAGTAACTCCTGAGCATCACCGGGGGTGACCCAAAAAGCAAAAAAAAAAAAAAGGTTAAAAGGTTAAAATTGTACAAACCACATTTTAAAGAAAAGGCTCCATTTGCAATATAGCTATGTAGTACAACTATATTATTATATCAATTAATTTAATGTATATATGTTTATATGAACAGTTTTTGTTTACCAATTAATTGGTATTTTGCTATCTATATGTATTTAATTTCCATATTGCTAGATTCTGTACAGTGTTAGCTATATTGTCAAACCTTCCTTCTAGATGTTTCTCATTTCATGAGCAATCCTCTCTAGAACATCATCTACGTACCCTTAACTCCTCATACTGACTTTATACAATAGGTACTAAAATGTTTGGTTGAAGATAGACATTTTAGAGTGTGAATTACTATTCCTTTTGCATTGGTTTTATTTGGGGGCCACACCCGACAGTGCTCAGGACTTACTCCTGGTTCTGTGCTCAGGGACTGATCCTGGGAGTGTTTAAGGGAACATATATGGTACCAGAAATCAAAACCTGGGTGACCACATGCATTGCACGTGAACTCTCATTATCACTGGACTACTCCTCACTGGACTCTCATTGTGACCCTGAATTATGTATTCCTTTATTTTTATATCTCGCCTCATCGCTGGTTCCATGAGTTTTTATGAGCCATATACCATACCACGCCTTATTTATCGGTTATATAGTTTATGACTTATCTAAGATTGACCATCATAGATTCGGTATCAGTTAGCTGTGCTTTTAAATGCCAGCCACATACATCTTGCGTGTCAAGGCTTGCCTGAACATAAGTCATCATCCTCACTGAGCAGGGAAGCACCGAGGGGGACATCCAAGGCTCCCTGCAGGTGCTCCGGCACAAAACCCAGCTCATTCATCCATCTGTTCCACCGTTCTCAGTGTGGTACTCATTGGAATCAAGTCCTCCTTCACAGTGGAGAGCAGCAGAAGGAGTGCTGTCTCCGGCCGTTCTGTTTTCCTGGACGAGAGTCATCCTGGTCGACTCTCACCTCCCACCAGCACGCCAAGATTTGTGGTCTTTTGAGACCAGTAAATGGGCGGGAAGTTGGACCCCATGAAAGATTTAGACCATTCTGATATAGTCCGTGATTTGAGCAACTCGTGTTTTTACTCTCAGGGAAGAAAGGAATCCTAAAATGATTGATAACTATCAACATAACTAGAACATAACTAGATTGTTAAATTTCCTCTGTCACGTTCTCTCTAATTGTATCTTAACTCTTTTTTGGGGAAGTGAATATTTATTTGTATGGAAACATGCAAAACAAGCAATGTCTGAAATTGTTTTGGGGGGATGGGGACACTCCCCTTGTTGTTCAGGGCTTGCTCCTGGCTTTGTGCTCAGTACTTACTCCTAGAATGCTCAGCGGACCATATGGGATGCTGTGGGTGAAAGGTCAGAGGCAAGCACTTAACCCACTGCATTATCACTCTGCTCCCAATTTCTGGGATTCTGGGGGGGGGGGGGGTCGAGAAGGGGTTCTGACAGGCATCAGTACCTAAAGGCTACTCCTGAATCTGTCCTCAGGAGTCACTCCTTGTGTTGCTTAGGGGACCATGAGATGCTGGGAATTCACAGAAGTCAACCCACACAAGACCAGAGTGAAGCCTGGACTGTCTCTCAGACTCAATTACTATGTTTTATTCTCTTTTGGTTTGGTCACTCTCAACGGTGCTCTGCAAGTGCTCCTGGATGGGTGCTCAGGGATCACTCTTGGATCAGTGCTCAGGGGACCGTGAATGGTGTGGGGAATAAACCAGTGGTGATCAAATGCAAAACCAGTGCCTTGCCTGCTGGGTTCTCTTTCTGCTACCTCTCCCCAGTGTGTTTTAAAGAGAATTATAAATGCACACACCCCTTTACAGCTGCAGCACATGGGAGAGAAAAGCAACATGAAAAAGTTGCACCGTTGGGGCTGGAGCGATTGTACAGCAGGTAGGGCGTTTGCCTTGCATGGGGCTGACCCGGGTTCGATCCCCAGCACCCCATAAGGTCCCCCCCCAGCACCGCCAGGAGTAATTCCTGAGTGTAGAGCCAGGAGTAACCCATGTGCATTGCCGGGAGTGACTCAGAAAGCAAAAAAAAGAAAGCAAGAAAGCAAGAGAGAGGGAGGGAGGGAGGGAGGGAGGGAGGGAGGGAGGGAGGGAGGGAGGAAAGAAAGAAGGAAGGGAGGGAGGGAGGAAGGAAGGAAGGAAGGGAAGGAAGGAAGGAAGGAAGGAAGGAAGGAAGGAAGGAAGGAAGGAAGGAAGGAAGGAAAAGGAGGAAGGAAAAGGAGGAAGGGAAAGGAGGAAGGAAGGAAGGAAGGAAGGAAGGAAGGAAGGAAGGAAGGAAGGGAGGGAGGGAGGGAGGAAGGAAGGAAGGAAGGAAGGAAGGAAGGAAGGAAGGAAGGAAGGAAGGAAAAGGAGGAAGGGAAAAAGGGAAAGGAGGAAGGAAGGAAGGAAGGAAGGAAGGAAGGAAGGAAGGAAGGAAGGGAGGGAGGGAGGGAGGGAGGGAGGAAGGAAGGAAGGAAGGAAGGAAGGAAGGAAGGAAGGAAGGAAGGAAAAGGAGGAAGGGAAAAAGGGAAAGGAGGAAGGAAGGAAGGAAGGAAGGAAGGAAGGAAGGAAGGAAGGAAGGAAGGAAGGAAGGAAGGAAGGAAGGAAGGAGTTGCACCGTCTTCACGGGCATCTGCGAACAAGTGGTTCTTGTGTCCCCTGATGATGCTCTTTGTCTCCCCTTAGCGCTGACCAGGTCACTATGAACTTGGACTCCATCTACCGCCTGCTGGAGGAGACGCGGGTGTTCCCGACGCCGCCGCCGCCGTCGGGCCGGGCCCCGGGGGGCGACGCGGCGTGCTCGGGGGTCCCCTGCCCCTCGGCGCCCGGCGAGTGGGACGTGTGCGAGGAGCTGCGGCGGCGGGAGCTGGCCGAGACCAAGGCGCGCGCGGCGCAGATGGAGAAGACGATGCGCTGGTGGGCCGACTGCACCGCCAACTGGCGGGAGAAGTGGGCGCAGGTGCGCGCCGAGAGGAACCGCGCCCGCGAGGACGGCCGCCGCCTGCGCCTGCAGCTCGACCTGGCCCTCAAGGAACTGAGCGCTCTCAGGAAGCGGCGTCCCGGCACCCCCGGCAGCCAGGTGAGCACTGATGCTCCGTGCGCGGGGCGGGGATTGAACCCTGGGATCCCCGGTGGCCAGGTGAGCACTGATGCTCCGTGCGTGGGGCCAGGGACCGAATCCCAGACCCACTGCGGCCAGGTGAGCACTGATGTTCCGTGCGCGGGGCAGGGGATCGAACCTCGGGACCTGCAGTGGCCAGGTGAACACTGATGCTCCTTGCGCGGGGCGAGGATTGAACCCCGGGACCCCCGGTGGCCAGGTGACCACTGATGCTCTGTGCGTGGGGGCCCGGGGATCGAACCCCAGAACCCCCGACAGCCAGGTGAGTCTAGATGCTTGTGCACCGGGCAGGAGATCGAACCCCAGGACCCCCGGCAGGCAGGTGGAGTATTGATGCCCCATGTGAATGCCCAAGATTGGACTCCCGCACCCCTGACGTCTAGGTGAGCACTGATCTCTGTGCGTAGGGCCAGAGATCAAACCCTGACCGTGTTGCAATGATCCATCAGTATTGTCGGAGACACAGGTACAGGCTCAGGAATGAGTGAATCTCGGAGGGCTGCAGCTTGCTCAGACTGTTCAGATTCTGCAGCCTCCTTTTATTGTCAAACGATACACAAGGGCATCCTACATCATTCGCGTCATGCAATCCAAGGGCATCACACACAAGATTCTTCTCAACATACAGACTTGCTTGTCAAAGACTAAAATCAAACATTAATGTCAAACATTAAATCCTTTGCATTCCAGCATGTTCTCATGCATTCAGGATGTTCTCATACATTCACGGGCGCAGTGAATCATTATCTAAGCAGAGCACCAAAGGACACGGTAGCTGTAATCCTCCCTGCTGACCAGTCACGCGGTTCCTGGGCTGTGTGCATCCGGACACAGCCTTGTTTGCAAGCTATGTTTTGGGAACTTTCAGACCTCGGTCTTGTGGCCAACAGGGCCGGCAGCATGCAAGGCAAAATTACCTCCCGCAGGCATCTAAGAGCCTAACCCGTCCAGCGGCTTCTGCACGGGCTTTGCTCTGCAGTGGGGCCGAGATGCGTCCTCTTCTTGGAAGGTGCCTGCTGGAAGCTGTTCTCTCAATATCCTCCTTTAATTCCTCGCTCCCGACCATCTCATCAGAGACCTGCAGCTATGCAGTGCCCCCCCCCCCACCACCGTTTCTGAGGTTCCGGGAACGCACAGGTCTGGAGGCTGCTAATTCAGCCCATCAGAGAACCAGCCAATAGTGTTAAACCTGGCCAGTTAAGCCCATGAGAGTTCGTGATAATGTGATGCCCGGGATTCTGGGTTCCCAAGAGGCGAGATAATGCAAAAGCAGGAGGAGTTTTATTCCAGTATACTGGAATCAACTCCCTCACCCACAGAGGGGTCTCTTGATAGTGAACCTGACTTTAGACAGCCAGCAGTTTATATAGGGTTTGATGACATAAACAGTACATGCCTTATTGTTTTAGAAAAGAATCTTACGTAGTTACCAAACAAAGGTGTTTTGGCAGGTGTCTAGGGTTACAGTGGTTAGGAAACAATTAAACAAATAATTTCCAGTATCAGTACGAATTTTATGATTACATAGACTTCTCGTTCTTTTAGGATTAACAAAAAAGCAACTTCTGGGGCATTGTGAGAATTCATTAATTGAGCCCACTTGCTGAGCCCGGGAACTTTCCCGGGTGGGTTCAGGTTGGCTAGTTATGCATTGTTTTATTGCTGGGAAACTGAAGCTGTTTTAGTTCCCATAACTGAACCTGAGGCCTAGCTGGTTTTGCTGATTTTTGCTGCCTGTCATGGCTGCACTCTGGCTTGTTCTAATTCTCACTATGACACTATTAATGCAGTTGTTTAAAAGATGAAATCATGAAATTTGCATACAAGTGGATAGACATGGAGCGTATCATGTTAAGTGAAATGAGTCAGAGAGAGAGAGGGACTGACATAGAAAGACTGTACTCATATGTGGAATATAAGTAACATAATTAGAGACTAGCACCTAAGAATAGGAGAGGTAAGGGCCAGGAGGATCGCTCCATGGCTTGGAAGTCGATCTCATGTGCTGGGGGAAAAGGCAGCTGGGATAGAGAAGGGACCACTAAGTAAATGATGGTTGGAGGGCTCGCTTGGGATGGGAGATGTGTGCTGAAAGTAGACTATGGACCAAACCTGATGGCCGCTTAGTACCTGTATTGCAAACCATAACACCCCAAAGAAGAGAGAGAGAGAGAGAGAGAGAGAGAGAGAGAGAGAGAGAGCAAGAGGGAATGTGTCTGCCATAAAGGTGGGAGACGGGGAAGTGGGGGATGGTGGGAGGGATACTGTGAACATTGGTGATGGAGAATGGGCACGGGTGGAGGGATGGGTACTCAAACATTGTATGACCAAAAAGTAATCATGCAAGTTTGTAAGTCTGTAACAGTATCTCACAGTGATTCATTAAAAAAACAAAGTGGGAGAAGCATTTCCCAAGGGTGCTGCTCTGACCTCACAGTTCACTCCAGGCTGATGGGCACCACAGTACAATGCTGAATGATTCTCCACAATACCCAGACAACAGTGGCTGTGATCAATAAACCTCCCCCCCCACTCCCTCCTTGTTTTTTTTCTTTTTGATAACCTGGTATATACAATTCACAATGCAGGGAACATAATTTGGGAATCTTCAGAAACTCATGTTATGTCTTTTTGAAACACCCATTTTTATTCTTCTATTGAATTCCATCTCAAAAGCGATTAAAAAGTTAGTATCTCATTCCTCTACAATTCTACTATTTTAAGTCTCATGCCTGGAATTTATGAAGTATGGAATGAAAAAGTCCAAGACATTTTACAACCCAATTTTTTTTCTATTTAGCCTCCCAGTTTGATTTATTTATATTTTAAAACTTGACCATGTAAGCCATTGGAGTCTTTGTGTATATCTTTGGGAAAATGTTCTACAGTCTCAAAATTGATTTGTGTTGTTACATGTACTTAGAGTAGAGGTGGGGATGGAAAGAACTTAACTCATAGAATGTTTTTTCAATACACAAATTGTGGTATGTATGTGGTTCTGGGGCTGAAACCCAGAGCCTCACATATCTATCCACACACCCTATATTGAGCTACATCTCTGGGTGAACAAGTATCGTTTCATTACAAGTCAAAGGCATTGTATTTGTGAATGTGAAAATTATTTTCTTTGCTCACAAATTCTCAATACTTAGTACTTTACTGGGCTAGAGCGATAGCACAGCGGTAGGGCGTTTGCCTTGCACGCAGCCAATGTGGCTGACCCGAGTTCGCTTCCTCCGCCCCTCTCGGAGAGTCCGGCAAGCTACTGAGAGTATCTCGCCCGCACGGGAGAGCCTGGCAAGCTACCCGTGATGCATTCAATATGTCAAACACAGTAACAGTATGTCTCACGTTACTGGGCCTGCTCGAGCAAATCGATGAACAACGGAAGGACCATGATACCATGATAGTACTTTACTAGGGATATTTTTGTATTATCAATGTCAGGAGATCATTTATATTAGGTAGCACTGTAGCACTGTCCTCCCATTGTTCATCGATTTGCTCAAGAGGGCCCAATAACGCCTCCATTGTGAGACTTGTTGTTTCTGTGTTTGGCATATCAAATATGTCACGGGTAGTTTGTCAGGCTTTGTCGCGTGGGCGAGATACTCTCAGTAGCTTGCAGGCTCTCTGAGAGGGGCAGAGGAATCGAACCTGGGCCGACCAGATTGGTCACGTGCAAGGCAAATGCCTTACCCACTGTGCTATATATTAGGTATCCATTAAAAATTATTTATTTAGAGAGCCATTAAATTCCTTTTATAGCAGGGAAATAGGTATTTGATGATGAAGAGAGTTCAATCAGCTGTTTTTATTTAGATCAGTGTTTCTATCCACAGTGAAACTTAATGAAAGGATACTTTTAAATTAATGACTTGTCTGAATATTTTCCATAAGGAAAAACACTCTTTTACTGTTTTTTCAAAATAACGATGCAAACGATATGGGATCAGCCTCAGAGGATCTCTGTTCCCTCACAAGTCCCAGGTTCTTTCATATTTTCAATAATGAAAATACTGGAGTAACAAAGATGCTTAGACTCAGAGTTGAAAATAGAAAAGTTTATTGGAAAGTAGAAAGGAAAAGGAAAGTTACTCCCTAGATGGGGAAGAACGTGGTTTAGGGCTGTGTCTTGTGCAGGTTTTTTTAGAGGCTATTAGCATTTCTCATCCATTGGCAAGTGTTTACAGAGGCTGGAGACAGGTGACAGGACTGTCTCCCTGGTCTAAATCTCCCTGGGACTGCCCATTAACTTACTTTCCCTGTCAGCCTGGGCTCCAGGGTAGTTTTACAGTCCTGGGAAATTTCAGGAAGGCTGAGCCAAGGACCTTGGGGATGAAATGCACGTCAGGTTGATGGGGAGAGCTGGAACAGCTGACCAGAGGAGACTGTGGCTTCCTCTCTCACCGGCCAGGAGACCCGAGGCTTCCTTCTTCAGCAAGCCACAGAATCACAATCCATATTTTTTGTGAGGATGAAGAAATGAGTCATACTATGTCAGCTGGTATCCCAAATCTGACTGTATTTTCTAGAAAGGCCACACCTCGACATCAGTGGGGCTTGGTGTGTGGCATGCAGTTCTGTGACCCGGGTTCTGTGACTTGAGTGCTCTTTCTCCAATGGCATTTTGAAAGTAAGTTCTGAAAAGATGGACAGAGTAGGGAGAGCAACAGGTAACACTCAGGCTTTGCACAGAGGGGCCCGGAGTTCAATACTCAGCACCCCACCATCACCCAAGCATCACCAGGCGCCCCCCGGACCACAGCACCAACAGTAGTCCCTGAGTCTTACCCCACATGTCTCCAATTCCAAAACAAAATTTCTGGAAGTATCACTAAATTCCTCTTGAACTTTACAATAAATGGAGATTTTATTTTCATCTGACTTTCGCCTGAAATATGTAAGTCAAGACAAGTGTTGTTGAGCATGTTTGAAAGTGTCTAAGGGAATGTGTGCTAGCAGTTATTGTAGTTGCATTGTCATATGGTGTTGCACATTTCACGGAACACACAACTATCAATGTATTATACACCTCAAGACCCCATGCAAAGTTCTATATCATTTATGTGTCAATTAAAATATGAAACAAACATAACATGAGTTTGGTGATGTCTCAGAATTATAATACTTTTGCTGAGTATTCTATTGTGATAAATGGTGATCATATTTACAGTGATGCTCCATTAAATCTATTTGCAACTTGCCTCAAACTATAACTGCTCAAAACACCAAGTTTTCGAAAATTCAAGACTATAATAAAATTATTTCTACATTATCTTACAAGAGATTAAAAAAATCATTTGGCTCCACTTTAAAATTCTCAAGTGCCTGCAGCAAAAGCAATGTCAAAGATAATCCATAAACTAATTAGATGGCTTCAGAGATTTACAAGTTCGTATGGGGTTATTTTTAGCTCTGATTAGAAAATGAAAGTCTAAACATAGTTAAAGCAGGCCTTTGAGAAATGTTTTTTATTATGACTAGTTGAAGATAGAAAAAAACATAAAGGAGAATCTGAGTTGAGTGTGGTCATATTACTGAGATTAATAAAGAAATGAAAATATCAAGCTGAATTATAACATTTATGTCTTCCCCAAATGTTTTCTTTACGATTTTTAATAGTGAAAAAAAATTAATAATAGTTTCATGTGTTTCTTTTTCCCTTCAGAAAGAAGGCTTGATTATCGACCCATTAAGCCTGAAAGAGGAGATGAAACTCAATTTAGATTATCTTGATTTGTTCAAAAATGATGGTTCTGAGGATTCTGCAGTGAAACCTGGATTAGGGCTTCAGGCAAGCAGTGAGTCTTCTGAGAATGATGTGCTTGACATTTCAGCTTTGCGGGTGCCTTTGGATGAGTTTCAGAAAATCCTATGGAAAGAACGCGAGTAAGTGCTCATTTTTCTGATTTTCCAATCTTTTGAAATGGTTAAGTCTCATAATAGGACTGTTTGGCAACCCGGACCATGATTTGTTATTAGGTTCCAAGATAAAAATATGAGCATGATATCTGTTTTCTGAATTTGGAAAAGTAATTTGCAATGTACTTCTTCTTTCGAAATTTTTTTATCATTAGCTTTTTCTCATTTCTGATAGTCACTTTAGTTACACTGAAATTATTCATGTGTAAAGAAGATAGTAACTGTTAACTAAATTTTACAGTGAAGATTTCAGTGAGTCAATAAAAATAACAAATATGCTAAGACTGAATTAACTCAGCATTGAATTTTACCCAGCACTTGAGGTTATATTTAAGCTCTAAACTTAGTGTTTAACTTTTAGGATTTGACATTTTCGTGTCCATGGTGTTACTTCACTGGCATAATGTGAAAGGGCAAACAGACCTTCAATTTTCTTTTTTAAATTTTCTTCTTGTTTATAATGTAGGAGTACTGCTATTTATTCAGCCATTGATTAAACTGATTGAATTGGGCATGGACTCCATGGACCTTCAATTTTTTAGGAAAAAGCCTCTTAATCTGTTAATGAGAACATGCATGCCTTTACTCTCTCTCACACATATACCACATGTATGCATTTGCCTTCTTGGAATAAGCCAGCAATCCCAGTAAGGGTCTAATCTGGGGAGAACCCTACCCACACCTCCCCCAGTAAAGTTTGAAATTGTACAAGTGTGAGGAGGACTGGAAATCAGACCACCCCAGGCTGGGAGGGGCTTCTAGCAAGACAGGAGTTTATTTTCTATTTATTTATTACTAAATAAATAATAAATATATTCCAGATGGGAGTATAAAAGGAGGCTCCCAGAACCATACCACTGACCTCCGTGACAAGCTGTTTGGGGAGAGGGGGTGAGAGCCCTCCTCACCCCAAGGGACCTAGCCCTGGCAGCTGACCTCCACTACCCAACCACCGCCATGCTCCAGGCCGCTTTCCGCACCACGCAGCCACAAAGCGGCCGCTCAACACATTATAAGACACTTCCTACCCATTTATGCCTCTTGGAGAGCCTGGTAAGCTACCGAAAGTATCCTACCCGCACGAGGCAGAGCCTGGCAAACTCCCCGAGGCGTATTTGATATGCCAAATACAGTAATGACAATAGGTCTCATTCCCCTGACCCTGAAAGAGCCCCTAATCACTGGGAAAAGACGAGTAAGAAGAGGCTGCTAAAATATCAGGGCTGGGCGGAATAGAGCTGCTACTGGCGCCTGCTTGAGCAATTCGAAAACCAACAGGATGACAGTGATACAGTGATTATTTATTATTATTGAATCACCGTGAGTTATAGTTTCAAGCATCCCAAGCATTCATGTTTGAGTTTAAATCATGCAATGATCAAACACCCATCCCTCCACCAGTGCACATTCTCTACCACCAATGTCCCTAGTATTCGAACCCCCCCCTTCCAACTATACCCCTGCCTCCATGGCAGACAATTTCCCCCATACTCTCTCTCTCTCTTTCTCTCTCTCTCTTTCTCTCTCTCTCTCTCTCTCTCTCTCTCTCTCTCTCTCTCTCTCCTTTTGGCCATTATAGTCTGCAATACAGATACAGAGAGGCTATCACGTTTGATCCTTTATCTACTCTCAGCACACATCTCCGATCCCGAACGATCCCTCCAACCATCATTGACTTAGTGATCCTTACTGGAACCCAACTGCCTTCTCCCCCAGCTCATGAGGCAGGCTGCCAACTATGGGTCAATATTGCTGGCCCTTGACGACGGGATTTTCTACAAAGTCTTTACTGTCCTGATGCGCAAGGGGCCAGGTGGTCTGAGTAACACAGGATTCTCTCCAAGCTGTGTTCTTGAAACTGCTCCGGTCTGTCTTTGGGAATGTCAGAGGGGACACACATTCCAGGAAGGGGGAGGAGGAGGAAGGCACAGATTACCCCAACTCCTCTCTTGAACCAGTGATGAATAACTTCCTCCTGCAGCCCCCACCCCTCCTGTCAGCGAGAAAACTCTCCGGGACCCCAGCATGTGTCATACATAAAGCAGAGTTGAGCCAGAGTCCCGCAGAGAGACTGTGACTGCAGACACCCCCTCACTCTCAGCCCCCAGCCCCTGACAGCTTCTCCTGCTGCGTCTGCTGATTCCCACCCAGGCAATGTGCAAGCTGTTTTGCCCAGGTGGAAGGATGACACAGTTACTCGGTATAATCCTCATTCTCCCCCTGGGATCTCAGCAAGTGGGTGGCTTGAGTGGGGAAGATGAGATCATAATCTTCTTATGTTCCCAGCCAGCTCGAAAATCCTCTTGACGAGAGCTCACAAATCAGTCAAGGGAAGTCAGGCTTTCATTCACCGTTGGTGCTGATTACAACCTCCTCGGGCACTGCTCAGTTAGGAGAGTAATTATTCAGTATCTGAAAGCATCACATAGATTGAAAAAATTGAGTATTTCTGCCTTTTAGGTAAAGACTTCTAGGGTAGAAAATTTAAAGTGTGCCTGGGACCCTCTTTTAATGCTTTGGCAATATCACATCTTAAGGAAAGGAATGAATGATTTTGATACTTTTTTTTTTTAACATTTAGAATTGGTTCTCAAAATGAACCACAGGTGGCATCTCTCTCCCTTCAGAAATATTTGTTTATTTTATTTGCCTACTCTAATTGTTGAAACATTTATTTTCTATATATCTTCTTTGGAAGATAATTATCTTCCAAAATTAGTATGCTTCACTAGATGCAGATTTTTTTTCCTTAATAAATGGGATTGTTAAATCTGTACAAGAAAGTAGAGAAAACTGAATATGCTTCAGTGGCTAGCATGGAATAGAAATATAGAAATACACATATATTCATTGCCATTAATTCTAGGCAAATTTGGATATAAGCCAATACAAATGAGCATGCGCACACACACACACACACATATCTGTCTATCTTTCTATATACACATATGTATATACACATGGACATATCACATTTTTTTATTCTTCTTGGATAAACATTTAGATATTTCTGTATCTTGGATATTAGCAATGGTTTAGATATTTCTTCTAGGTATTTCCTTTTGGATGTATTTATATCTAAAATATCAAAATTTCCTCTGTTGATTTTCTTTAGATGTATATATAGAAGTGAAAATGTAGTTCTATTGTTGATTTTCTGAAAAAACTCCTGTTTTCTCCGGTTATTATACTGAATAACAATATATCATACTGAATATAATCAACGGGATTTTTTCTAGACTGAGACTAAGCTCTGGTCTTATTTCATAATCATCAACCCAATCCCTTTTGTTATTTTTAGAATAGACCATCTAAAAGGTGGGAGGCAGTAGGATCTCCCTGATTTTTGATTTTGCGGGATTTTTTTTTGGTGATTTGTGATGAGCACCTTTTCATATGCCTTTTTGGGTGAATATTTATGCAGATTCTGTTATTCAGAACTACTAGCTCCTGTGTGTAGGTGCTCGAATAGTGTATATATAATGAGCATACAAAATTTTGAATGTTTGCAATGTCTGATTTTTACATTTTAACAGTTGGGAAAGGTCATTCTGAGTCTTCTGATATTCTGTCATCCAAGTCTTAAACTGATTTCTAGATGGTTCTGTCCTCTCAAAATCAAGTAACACCCAGTTTATTTTGGGGAAGGGTGTTGGCTTGGGGCCTGGCAATACTCAGGGATGACTTCTGGCTCTGCACTCAGGAGTTACTCCTGGTGGTGCATGGAAGGGCATAAGGATGTTGGGGGTGGAACCCAGTTTGGCTCTGTGCGTGGCCGCTATCTATAATAATTTCCTAGCCCCCTAATTCTGCAACGACCAAATTCTTCTTAAAAATTATTATTGTTGAGATGATACCACCAGATGATACAAATATTTCTGAGTTTTATTTTTTTATGTTTTTTAGTTTGTTTTGGAGGCCACACTCAGCCATACTCAGGCTCTGTGCTCAGTGATCACTGCAGGCAGGCTTAGTATTGGGTGTGGCTTCAAAGCCCCCCCCCCCAAGCAAAACAAACAATAAGGGGGTGCTGGTAGAAATGGCTCCACATTTTATCTTTGCTTTTATCTGGATCATTAGGCTCCCTTTTCATCCTCTCTGGCTCTCCCAAAAGTTATTTTCCATCTAAATGGGCTCATTTGAATATATTTGTTCTCAGACATAAAACTGATACCAGGAGACTGTGTAGACAAATGTACAGTGATGAATCTTCCTGTCTTGGTCTATGGATATTATGTTGCGTTATTGTAGGGTCATGAGAGTTGACAACAAAATATGTCACAGATACACATTTATATATTTTCACCAAAGTAATTTTGGATCATACTTTATATTTTAGACCCTGTAAAGTATTTTAGATACCTTTTTATATCATTATTTGAGAAACACAATACATTTTACTGAGCTTTACTTACTTATTTTTTCTTAAATAATCTACATATGGAACACACATTATTTGAGAAACACCAAACATTTTACTGAGTTTTACTTATTTTTTTCCTTAAATAATCTACACATACAACATGCAGCATCATTTAGAGCAGTGTTAGCTTTCTCCCATTGTCTTGTAGGTCAGATTGTTTTGTACAGCTTGAGTTTCAACTGTAAATGTAATTATAGAAATAATTTGAAAGTCAAGATGTGAAGCATGGAGAACTCAGGGATGAATCTGCCCAGCGATAGAGCGAGATTTGTCTACATGAGGCTCTAGAATCAATTCCAGTGATTTCCAAGATTCTATGTAAAACTAAGGGGGTTACACAGGAAATTAAGAATTATACGAGTGCCCCAAATTAATATTGCAGTGTGCCTAGTATTCACTGGTTTGTATATTCTATTATCTTGTAGGCCAAACTGAGAGACTGACCAAGCATCATCTGCTTGCCAAATTATGTCATTTACATAGTAAAACTACATAATTTTCAGTAAGCTGGCATAGTTATTTTATATAGATATATATTTATAAATACTATATTTTAAATTGTTAGTAGTTTTCCTTAAGCTAGAATCCTTGTCCATTTATTTCTTTAAATTTAGGAAAATTATGGTATTTTCATATCATTGAGTGGTATACTTAGAATCTAATTGAGTGGCATACTTAGAATCTAATTCTACATGTGATGTATATATCTCCTCAGACTATATGGACACACAACTAATATTAAAAGCTTTATTCAAGTAGTTTTAAATGTTCTTAAAATAAAAAAATTCTTGAAGGAAATAGTTACCTTATGATAATTTTAATAACATTTTTGAGAATTACCATTTTGTGCTCTAATAATCATTTTCATTCTAATGTGGACAATAATAGAAGAAATTATTCTTATTCTATCATGGACAAAAACATAAACCATTTTGTGATAATTGGATATCTCTGCAAACATTATGATTTGATTAAAATATAGTCTTAAGGCTATCATTGATTTTTGAACACGTATAATTTTGAGTTTATGCATTTCAAAGTATAAGCTCTCCTCAATTTTAAAAATTAATTATAAGTAAAATAATTATATTAATTTTGATAAAGTATATCAGTATATTATGTAATACAATTAATGCTTTATAATTAAATTATTTTATGAATCTTTTCCTGTCTGAATTTTCAATTATGTAACAAAAATTATTCCCACATTACTCTCATGAAACAAATAAATTAAAATGTAAAATATAGTTTCATTTAAATGTTTTAATGAAGTTATACCTGGTAAAATTAAAAATGTATCTTGACTTAAATTAACAAGTCAAACTCAATCTACTTACAGTAGTAAAACATTCATTATAATCCAATTCATTTCATTTCATTTCATCATCCTGTTATTCGTAGATTGCCTTGAGCAGGCCCCAGTAACGGCTCTTTCGTCCTAGCCCTGAGATTATATTCAAGGCTCTTTAGGAGAATGAGACCCATCATTGTTACTGGTATTTGGCATATTTGGTACGCCACGGGGAGTTTGCCAGACTCTGCCCTGTGGGCAGGCTACATTCGATAGCCTGCAAGTTTGACCAAAGTACGAATGAGATAATAAAATGTCATAAAAAGATGTCCTGATAAGATGTCGGGAGCTGGATTTTATAGTCTCTGAGTCTTGGCCGCTGATGGGATTACACGGCGCCAGGGGGCCAGATGGTGGGTGTGAATTTGGAGGATCTGGGTGGAGGATGCTCGACTCCAATCCGGGTAGGCTTGGAGATCTCGGACCCGGAACCCGCGTGGCTTTGTCCCTCTGCCAGTACCTTCATGTGTGCGGAGAGTGGTCTCAGCATGGTGGTGGCTGGTCCTGGAGGTCTTCGGCTGCCGGAGCCCTGGTCGGGGCGGGGAGGAAAGCTCAACCCGCTCCCCTCCAAGGGGCCCCGGTGAGGAACAGACAGGCGCGGGGGGGGGGGGGGGGGCAGAAGACTGCACTGTTCTCGTCCGGGAGCTGGATTTTATATAATCCAAAACTTTATTTATTTATATTTAGTTTTGGGGTCACACTCACTGTTGCTGAGGGATTTCTCCTGGTTCTGCCTTCAGGAATTACTCCTGGCAATGCTTGGAGGACCGTATGGGATGCCAGGGATCGAACCTGGGTCAGTTGTTGTGTGCAAGATAAGCACCCTACTGACTTTTCTATCTCCGGCCCCAATCATCCAAAACTTTACATACACTCAAATGCTAACTACAGAGTATATTTTAATGCACACTGACTTTTACCTATTCTTTGCTTAATAGAATATACTAGTGTTTGACAATGTGTTCTTTATAAATATACATGCCCATTTTTCTTGCAATTCCAAACAGCTACTCCAAACCGTGAAAGAAATAAATCATAGTATGCAAGTTGTTTGTACTCACCTAGTCAGATTTGCTTGTCAGAATTTTTACTGGCGCTGCTAATCTGGAGTACCAAGTATCTATATATTTATAAATGTTGGTAAGAACAAGGATTTTGTACTGATTCTCTCTGTAATTTTAATGTATCAGCAGTGTTAATAAGAAATTCTAATTAAAGTGCTGAAACGAGGTTGTGCAACCCAAGTCTTTAGAGGTTAAATGAAGCCCTAACTTGTCCTTTTACACCCTCTTTTAATTTTATGGCTTGATTCATACAAATATAATTGTGCAACTGTTTAATGGGTTTCTTATCCATTGACTTAATTAAACTAATACTAGCTATAGCTTAATTCTATTTGGTACTTTTCATAGTTACCATAGGTAGAGGAATCATACTTCTTATAAAGATGTAAATGGCAGACATTGTTGGTTGTACCTGCATCTTGGACCCATTTTTGGTTTGTTTTTGGGGTGATGCTCAGGGCTCACTTTCTGGAAATGCGCCTGGCCGTGGGGCAGAGGACCGTATGGGATGCTGGGGATTGAACCCGGGGCTAGCCCAGTGCAATGCAAGCGCCCTAACCATTGTCCTGTGGCTCCCGCCCCACATCTTTTTGTCTTTTGTGCTACTAAAAACCTAGTCTTCCTAGTGAAATTAGCACTGAAGTAGACCCAGGCATGTCCCTCTTTAGACTAAGGCGCATCTTCAACTGCATAGATGCGCGAGGGCGCATAACCTTCAGGTGGAACTGAGTCTGTGAGTGCGCTGGCGGCGAGCCCACCTAGACCAGGGCTTTGCAGGGAGACATGGTGTGCCCGTTCCCTGCTCCCCCTGGGAGCCAGAGTCCAGCACAGAAGCTCTTCAATAATGGCCCAAAGAGAGAGCAAGCCTCCATCCCAACGCCTTTGTTTCTCACCTTCGGTCACACTGTGCTTCCGGGGTCCCGCGGGTAACTGACAGCTGCTATTTCCAAGATGCTGCAAGTGAAAATTGTGTCCTGTAATCCACCATGGATGAACACGCATCACTGTTTGCCAGCCTCTTGGGCTTCAGCATCATTTTTCTAGTCTCTGTCTACTGTCTGCCGCTTCAGTCTAGATTTCTTTTGTATGCGATGGCAGCATTCTCCTTTCCAAAAGAACCTTTCCCCACTCCAGTTAACTTAGTAGCAGAACAAATAGAACAGAAACAAACATGTAAAATTCAGAGGCTTAAAATGACAATGATTTGATTTACCCAGTGAAGGCAAGGGAGCTCTGCAGGATGTCACCCCAGAGTGGCTGGGCTGGGCTCCTGTCTCCCACCTGAAGTGTGTGTGTGTGTGTGTGTGTGTGTGTGTGTTCCCACTAGGGAACTCTTCACAAAATAACGTATCACAGGGGTCCTGGCTGCAAATGCACTTTTCACGTCTCTTTACCGCTCCTCCTCCTAATATGTCCCTATGAAGCCAGGATTCCAGAGAAGCGGAAGATAACTGCATGCACCCAGGAAGCAGAAAGAGAGTGAGTGTTCAGACAGCAATCTAGGCTGCTACACAAGGGCCTGCCATTGGCCAAGACCAACATGAACTAATCACACCCAGAAACCAAAGTCATTTTCCATGACTCACCTTCACAGACCGGTGGGCATAGAAAACTGGCTAGCGATGAGGCTGTCCAAAGACACTGTGTGAGCACTCCAGGGTGACTCAGAGGCAGAGCACCTGCCTGGCTCAGTCCCTGGCATCCCCTGAAATTAGCATGTGTGACTTTGGTGGCTTTGCTGATGTGGTTCTGGGGCGGGAGTTCTACAAAAATGGTGGCCCCTGGGTACCAACCACAGCCATGTGTTTTCGAGCATGACAGCCAAGGGTGGGACCCCTGGACATGGCAACAGCTGCAGAAAGGGGGTGAAGGGCTACTGATCTCATCTGTTTTGTGTCGGATTCTATGAATGGAGGTTTAGCTCCAGGGAAATCGTTTAAATAAAGGTCCTGGTGAAAATACATCAGGTGGGATGGGGGGATGGACGGTGGGAGGGATACTGGGACCCGTGGTGGTGGAAGATGGGCACTGGTGGAGGGATGGGTACTCGATCATTGTATAACTGAAACCCAAGCACAAAAATTTGTAAGTCTACAACTGTACCTCATGGTGTTTCACTAATAAAAATTAAAAAAAAGAGAAAAAAAAAGAAAATCATTAAAACAAAATCACAGATGTTTTCAGCAGTACTGTTTAGACTCAATAAATGATTGGTTTCTTAAATTGCTATAAATGCTATTTGATGTTCTCTTTCACGCAAAGGATTCTTCATTCTTTTATGAAGAGTTTTATGGTCATGATGTGAAGTTGGGTAAAAACCAGGTTAAAATGAGAAATTTTGGGTCAGAGGGATAGTACAGCAAGTAAAGCTATTGCCGTAGATGCACTGACATGCGTTCACTCACTGACACTGTGTGATCATTAGTACATGTTGGTCTTGGTCTTGGTCGCTTGGCGTTGTAGATGATTCCCTGATTACTGCCAGGAGAGATCTGAGAGCACAGAGTAAGGAGTAATACCCAAGCTTACTTGGATGTACCCCAAACATTCCCACCCGTCAAAAAACTCAGAAACTTTTTCCTCTTAGGACATAATATGAATAAGAAACATTGAAGGAAATGCATGCATAATGCAAGAGAAAGCAGACAGAAAGTCAATTATTTTGACATTAGCAAAGTCAAATTAAATGTGTTTAACCTACTGTAAAGCTAATTGACACAATAATAAATTAAACCAAGTTTCATTCAATATTTGCCATTTTTAATTAGCTGAAAAATTTTCTGTCATAATAATTTTATGCAAATATCAAAAATTAGGAAAATAGAACTCTTTTCTCGCTCTTCTGATAGTATTGTATTCTCAATAAAAACCATTCCTAAACTATGTGTTCATTCTGCACTTAATTTATTTAGGATGCGCTCATCTATGGGAAAAGAATTGGAATGCCTGGAGTCAGCTCTATCTATCTGGAAACAGAAATATGAAGAACTGAAGGAATCAAAGCTGAAAACTAGGAAAGAGGTAAGGAGACAGATGAGCTACATAAATAAGTCAGTTCAAAATAGGTAAAAGCAAACGAGGTGAAAAACTTACTGTCCACTTCAGGATGACTGTTCGAATTGTATCAGTAATATATTTACACTCAGGCCACTAGCTATGTTCTAGAGAACATACTTATAAGGATCAATTGCATGTCACATTGCCTTTATGTCTTCCCTTTGTATTTTCATTGGTTAAAATTTGCCACGAATCCATCTCATGATGTATCACTATTCATTTAATGTTTACTCAGTGTATTATGTGTCACAGGATGGGTCAGATAAAATAATAAGCATATGGTAGGGATGTGGTTTAAAAGAAACCCTCATTCACTATTGGTGGGAATAATGCTGGGTTCAACCTCTATGAAAAAAAAAACAGGTATAAAGATTTCTCAAAAACATTAAGAATAGAACCAGAGGAATAATAGAGCAGGTAGGAAGTTTATCTTGCATGTAGCCAACCTGGGTTCTATCTCTGTCACCACATATGGTACCCCAAACACTGCCAGAAGTGATTCCTGAGTTCAGAGACAGGAGTAAAGCCTGAACACACCAGGCGGGGCTGAAAAGAACAAAACAAAAACAGTTTAAGAACAGAGCTTCCACATTACCTGGGGATTCCACTTTGTGGCATTTTCCTCCCAAACAGAAAAACATTAGTTTGAATGGATATGCATACATTCGTGTCCATTGCCATGCTTAGCCATGCCATGAAACAATCTGAATGTCCAATGTCCAATGCCAAGGGAGTGATAAAGATGCTGTGGTGTCCAGATAAGCCACTGGAATACTATGCAGTTCTAAAAAAGCTGAAATCTTAGCTGGCACCAAAGGGTATCTCGTTAATTTAAATAAGTCAAAGGGTGAGGAACAAAAGCTACACGGTCTCACCTACCTGTTGTGTACAGAGAAAGAAAGCAAGAAGCCAGATAACAGCAAATACTGACGCACATTATAGAACCAAGGGCAATTAGAGGTGAACAAGAGGCACCAGGACAGCGGAGAGATGGGAGGCCACATTCTTCAGTGGGCAGGTGAAGTAACTTTGAATTTCTAAGCCATGAACATTAGTACTATTGTAATCACATTGCCTGAACTATAATAATTATGGGGAAAAAAAGTAATGAGCATCTATCAGTGAAGAAAAATAAAAAGTAAAGGTCCTCCCATTGATCGTCGATTTGCTCGAGTGGGCCCAGTAACGTCTCCATTGGAGACTTTGTTGTTACTGTGTTTGGCATATCGAATACTCTCGGTAGCTTGCCGGGCTCTCCGAGAGGGGTGGAGGAATCGAACTTGGCTCGACCATGTTTGGCCGCTTGTAAGGCAAACGTCCTACCGCTGTGCTATCGCTCCAGCCCCGAAGAAAAATACTGAGCAGAAATTAACTAGCTAATTAGTCTCAAGTGGGTTGCGATGGTATGGATGTGTACAACATAGACAAAATACTAAATAATTAGATATGCACACAAATATACACATGCAGATGTCCCCAGGTCAAGGCTATCTGCACGGCTGTCCCAAGAGGCGGGTATTGATGTCGGTTGTGTGATCCCGCCTTGGGTGTCACACACGCGTCCATCCATTGACAGAAATGGGGAGGGTTGTCCTTAGTCCTCTTGGTTGATGAAATCCCATTGGGGCGTTCCAGCCTTGTGCTCGGCGAGTGAGAGTCATTAGCTGAGGTTGGCTGAAGGCTCAGGAGGAAATGTTAGCGAGGCCCCATTGCCAGCCTACCCCTCACATTTGTATTTTCTGCAGACGGTCCATTGGCCACGGAGAGAAACGCTTTCCGAGCTCAGGGTGAGACGCAGGCAGCTATGGAAGCCCAGTGGAACTCTTGAGGAGAGTCTGCCCTAATATTCTGCAGTGAACATCTCACACTTTATCTCCGAAAGGCAACTGCATCGGGAACCACAAAGGGTTCGCCTTGAGTGACTTTAGAGAACGACACTTCTCAGTGAAGGGCAAATTAGACAATTAAAGCTATTAAGCTGACTCCTCCTTTATGAATTCTTACTAGGCTATTAGAAAGGTTTTGCTTAAATTTTGAGTAATAGGGTCATAGCCATAAATTTCTATGTCTCATAAAGTTTATTTTGTGAGATATATATTTACATGTAGCACTGTCCTCCCATTGTTCATCGATTTGCTCGAGCAGTTCCAGTAACGTTTCCATTGTGAGACTTGTTACTGTGTTTGGCTTATTGAATACATAGCTTGCCAGGCTTTGCCCTACGGGCGAGATACTCTCAGTAGCTTGCCGGGCTCTCCGAGAGGGGTGGAGGAATTGAACCTGGGCCGGCCGAGTCTGCTCTGTGCAAGGCAAACGCCCTCCCCGCTGTGCTATCGCTCAAGCCCTGTATTTATGCACATAAATATATTTACATACAAATGCGGGCCAACAGCATTTGTATTGAGAAGCTTCACTGAATATAATCATCAGGGTGTGAATATTGGCAATAAGTTCATGTTTTACAGGAAAAGAAATTCAAAATGCATAAATCACACCATGTGTATGCGTGTACATCCTGTCGCCTAATGGACTTTAATTAAAAAAATAAACATGCATTTACTATAAACTACCACCAGTGGGCAGTGCAAACTTGCTAATGGTGCATGGTCTGTTGCATTTTATTCAAGCAATTTAACATAGATACGGCAACTTTTGGTTTAAATTATGACTTAGAGTTCAGTTTTGAAAGTGATCGGTAAATTTTTAAATGCATAGTATTTTCTACTAAAAGAGGATATCTTATATAACAAAGGAGAAAGGATCACTTTATTTTTTTTTTGAAAAAAATTATTTTTTAATTTTTTTTATTAGTGAAACATCACGAGGTACAGTTATAGACTTACAAATTTTTGTGCTTGGGTTTCAGTTATACAATGATCAAGTACCCATGCCTCCACCAGCACCCATCCTCCACCACCATGGGTCCCTCCCACCCCCCCATCCCTCCCATCCCACCCTGCCTCTGTGGCAGGTCATTCTGAAAGGATCACTTTAAATTGCTTAACAAAGCCCTTTTTTTAAATGTGAGGGAAGAAATAGCATTATATAATGTAAATTGTACCTGTCTTTTGATTCTACATATAAGTAAAGATGGGTTAATAAAGTATGTTATTTGGATAGTGGAAACCTCAAATGTATGGACAATCTGCTCAACTAAATGTATGAGGCCACGTTTAAATGAGACGAACTACAAATTTGGATGATCTATAAAACGATAATGTATAAAATATCTTGGTGTAGATAATGCAAAGTTATTATGAAGAGGTAAATATGTTTTTAAAAAATTAACTCTATATGAGGTTATTTACAAAATTTTACTTCCTAAAGTTGCCCAGAGACTTTCTGAAGAGACATAGCATAAACTTTTAAAAATAATAATTTTAGTGAACTAAAGAGATATTACAGAGAGTAAAATGCTTGTGTTGCTTGCCTTGTATGTGGCCCACCCATTTAATTCCTACCATCACTTATGTTGCCCTGAGCACTGTCAGGAGTGACCCTTAGTGCAGAGCTGAAAGTGAATGAGGTGTGGCCCTCCCCTCCCCCAAAATAGAAATAATATTTTATGGTATTTAAAAAATATTCAATGTTCAATAAATTCAATCATGAAAAAAGAACCACAACTTATTTTTATACAGTTTTTAAAATTGCTTTATAGTAACTTAGAATAAGAATTAATAGCATTTAAAACATTAAAAACATTTGGAAATGGCATTGCAGTTTAAATAATGTAAAAAGTGTAAATAGTCAGTCGATACAATTTATTGGCAGAAAAAGTTATATCAGGATATAGCTTTGGACCTCACGTGAATTTCTATTTATTCCTTCTCAAAATTCGATGAATAGCTTTTACTTTCACGATAGCTCTTTATGTATAAATTGTTTTGATACAACTGTAATTCTCTTTTGATGCCTGAAACTCTTAGATTATAAGCAAGTACACGCCTGAGTGAGAAATTCTGATGAAAGATGAACAATTTTTAGAGTTGGAAACAGATGTGCTCAATAGACCAAGATTTTTTTTTTAATGTAACTGAAAGTCTGCTGTATTTTACAGGGAAATCATTCTTAAATCACTGACATTTAGAGAAAAGTAAACATCAGAATTTAGTTGTAAAATTAAATAAGTACTCAAAATGCTCCCAGACAATTAGTAGCAGGAATTATATTCAAAATGCTGTTTCCTTGATGAATTGAATACTTACTTGATTTCCTATGCAAGTTTGTAAATACTGATTTGGAATTAAATTATGAATTCCAAGTGTGCTGAAATGATTAGTTTAATGAAATCACATGATCTGGAGAACAGCCATTCATATGTGATATTGATTAGAAGTTCCTTTGATTTCCCGTTTTAAAAATAAAAGGCTCATTCTTTCCCCAATGAAAGCTATCCTTTGCCATATGTGGAGAACACTGCTAACATTTAAAAAAGTATCCTCAAGCTGAAAAATGAGACAGCTTTTACATTTCTCTTTAAAGTTTTGTTCTTTTGTCTGTTATTTTAAAATGATTTCATTAAGAACATTTCCAACCTTTCATGATAATAATGCTTCTGCCAGTTAATATTTACAGTGTTGACTAGTTAGACTGAAATTCCTGGGGCCTCTGCATGGTACGATATAGCTTCACTTGAGGGCTTATTGCAAACACTTCCAAACCCCTTTCAGACCTTGGTGTTTGAAATCAGAGATTTATGAATGATACGGAGTTAAAATTTACACTGATAACTTGGGGGGAAAAACGCTCTCATAAGACCCACTCAATGCCGGTGTTTTCAGGGGTCCTTGAAGAGCTTAGATCCAGAGCGTAGCGGATAAAGATATGCCAGCAATAGCCTTGCAAACAGTTTATTGCTTCTCTCTTTTGTGTGGCCCAGGGAAATTTCACTGCGGAAATGACCTGAAACTTTGTTGCAACTTCCCTTTCCTACCTGCAGACTCCTACAACCCACTCCCCGGGGGATCTATTTCCTCCGCTTCCACCTTCTAAGGCTTTTGCCTCCTTTGCAAGGTGGACATCCTGGTTGCAGCCCCTCAGGGGATGAGGGTGTGGTTGGTGGGAGCACCTATCCAACCCCCCTGGTCCCCCTGTATTCCACATTCAGTGGCACCTCTGTTACTGAGCTACCTTAGAAGTTGTTTAGAAGTTCTGGAAAATCTAGTTTCATACACCTGGCTGAGCCATGGGATTTGGCAGCTTGATCTGGGATGAGCCAAATCATCCCCAAAGCCTTGATGAGAATACGACAGAGATGAGACTCTTGGGAATCCACCTTCCTCTCAGAAGAAACAAACTGACAAGCCCCCCACCTCCCCACCCAAAATAAAAAAAAAACATAAGCGGAAATTAGATGTCTTCACATCGATTTAAGCGACACTGTTTTAAAGTGTGAAAGAATTCAGTTGATATTTAATTAATCTCTAAGGATGGAAAGTGGAAGAATGAGGATGTAAAAAGTTAAAAGGAGAGAAAAATTTTAAGGGAAGTTCTGACATTACCAACGGTTTCCACGCCGACTGGCATCCTGGCAGTGTCTTTGCCTGTTGGGCTCCCAGATGTTACCACAAAGTCTGTGTCCTCTGGTGATTAACAACCTTAATATGTGTGACCCTGTTATTGCCACCACAATTTCAAGGCAGGCCAGGGAAATATCGACTTTAGAGAAAAGAGGAAAGAATGAGAATCAAAGAAAACCTCAAAGAACTTGGGCAAATTTGCTTTCCCGGAGCCTGTGATGTAAGCAACGTCCATTGAGAACTGCTCCTCTGCCTGCAGCCAGGAGTAACCCACTTCCATGCCCATTCCTTTCACAGGAACCCTGGTTGAGGTGGACAACTGGAAGGTGGCACCAAGTAATCCAGTTTATTTATTTAGTCTTTTTTTGGTGTGTGGAGGTGGGTGGGCACACTGACCAGTGATCAAGAGTTACTCCAAGCTCTGCACTCAGGGATCACTCTGGCTGTGCTCAGGGTGTTAGGACGCGGATCGTGATCTCCCTTTAATGACAAAGAGACTCCAGAGACTGCAAACAGCAAGCAAGGTTTATTGTGAGACCGGCTAGCCAGGGTCGAGCCGCCTACACAGACATACAGGTCAGATAGGTGAGGCAAGACCCTGAACTTCTTCAAAGGGGATCTTATATAGGCCTTCACTGGCAAAGCCCACGCATTTTACAGTCAATAGATTTGTAACAACATATACTTTCTTGACCAATCCATTTAAAAGTACATCACTCCTTAGCCTATAGATTCAAAGATCAGCATTTGTGTACATAGGCATTGTGGCTAGCGGGTATCTGGTAACTCGGACATTTGGTTATCACCTGGCTCCCATGGGAGCGGATAAGGGAAAAGTTCCTAACAGAGGTAACAGATAAGGAAGGGCCAACAAATGGTTTCCGAATTTACATCCCAGCAGGGAAGAGTCAACAAATGGTTTCAGAATTTACATCCCAATAAGGAAGGGCTTCACAGCTAAGGCTCTACTAGGGAGGGGGCAGGAAAGGGAGAGTTCCTAATTAGCAGAGTTTAGCTCTGGAATTTTTCTCTGGGTCCCTATGGACCTTACAAGGGGACCATGTTGGGTCCCCAATCTGGTTAATTTAATTGGTCCAATTAAGTCCTACCTGCCCAAGAAGTTGGAGCCGGTGGAGCCCACAGGTGGCTTATGTGAGGTGGGGAGGAGAGACGTGGTCACTTATGCCACTCCCCGGACCAGGGTCACCGGGTTCTTGTCTGACCTCACAGAAAAGAATGACAGGAGAAAATGAGCAGTGAAGTAAAAAGAGACTTTATTTGGAGTGTTTTATTTCTTTTATTTTTTTTGAAGAGAGAGTGAGAGAAAGGTGCTCAAGAGAGAATCCCGGCTTCTCCAAGGGCAGAGAGGGCCCCTATATACCCCAGCATGAGACAAGAAAGACCTCATCTCAAGAGGGAAGATGCAGGCTCCAAATGTGCTCAGGCATTGCATGTGCTCAGCCACATGGGCGCAACTCCCCCTTCATTTGTTCTGTAACTGTCACTGACCTCCCATTGTTCATTGATTTGCTCAAGCAGGCCCAGTAACGTCTCCATCGTGAGACTTGTTGTTACTGTGTTTGGCATATGGAATACGTCACGGGGAGCTTGCCAGGCTTTGCCGTGCGGGCGAGATACTCTTAGTAGCTTGCCAGGCTCTCCAAGAGGGGCGGAGGACTCGAACCCGGCTTGCTCGGGCCTGCTGCGCACAAAGCAAATGCCCTACCACTGTGTTATCACTCTAGCCCTCAAGTTGCCTTTATAGGGTATCTCCAACCTGCCTCCTGGTGGAGCTTCTTCCTAGGTAAAAGTCCGTTGCTATGGAGGTTGCCAGGGCAGGTAGGGTTGGGAGTGGTTGTTGGGGGAATCCTCTTTGAAATTCCTTTCCTGGCCTTTTGTTTCTGCAGGAGTTTCTGTCAGAGTGGGGACCCCTCCCTGCTCTGGGTCAGCTTCTGGTGTCAGGTGAAAATCTTATCTGGCCTTAGCTCCTGTTTTCTACAAAGTTGACTTTTTTTTGCAATTTCAGAGCTATTGATATTCTTATTTTCCAGGAAATTCATTTCCATAGCCTCGGGCAGGGGTGCAGAAAGGGACAGCTTCCCTGTCTACCTGCCTGCCCACTTCAAAGTTACCAGGCAGACAGGTATGGAATTGACCAGGGGTGGGCAGTAGGGTTATAAAAGGGGCTTCCTGCCACATAACTTGCTCTTGCAGCCCTCACTCTGCATTGGCAGAAGGCCAGAAAGCAATAGGTGTCACCCAGATGGCCTGAGAGAGAACAATAGCAGCAAGACCAGCCAATGGGCCAAGCCCATGGTTTCAGGGCCTAGAGAGGCCGTGCAGAGCAGCTGGACAGAGCAGTGAATGGCAGGGAGCCAGCTAGCGGCTTGGGTGGACATGCAGACCCCACCTCTGGCTGTGCCTGGTGACAGTAACACAAGGTTCAGTCTATCTTCAAAGTGCATCTTACTGGGCTGGAGCGATAGCACAGCAGGCAGGGTGTTTGCCTTGCACGTGGCCAACCCGGGTTCAATTTCCAGCATCCCATATGGTCCCCCGAGCACCGCCAGGAGTAATTCCTGAGTGCATGAGCCAGGAGGAACCCCTGTGCATTGCCAGGTGTGACCCAAAAAGAAAAAAGAAAGAAAGAAAGAGTGTGTCTTATCACATATTAACCACAGCACTACATTGGGTGCTTGTTACTAGAAGCAGGTCTTCCACGGGAAAGGAACGGATGGATACCTATTTACACACAATCCTCAGTTTCCCTTCACTCTTGGCCTCTGGCTACCCCAGCCTATTCCGTTCTTTTGAGACTCTTTTGAACAGCTCAGGTGATTCGATCTGCAAATGGTCGCCTTTACTTCCTTGAGAGGCTGAAAGATGTCCGAGTGTATGGATAGATCTTCTTGTCCCTTCATCTGTCTGTGAATATCAGGGTGGTTGTTTCTACACTTTGGTGATTACAATAGAGCAGCCACAGATAGGAAAATGTTTCTTTGAGGTTCTGTTTGCTGTTGCTTTGGAAACAGCAGAAACAGAAGCGGTATTGCTGGATAACATGGTCATTTCGGATGGACTTTTGATGTTCTATCATGGTTAATTTGCATCAGCAGCGGATGTAAGACTTTAGTTTTTCCCCATGCTTATCAACCTTATCTTTATGTATATTCATATGCATGGGCCCACTGGAGCAAATCAATGAACAACGGGAGGACAGTGCTACAGATAAAGTGCATATGCATATAAATAAAATATATCTCTACGTTATAAATTGTCCTTTATGCAGACAGACATCCTGACAGAGGCGAGGTGATACCTCCCTGTGTTTGTGGTTTGGGATCCTCTACTGATTCCTGGTGCTACGGCTGTGGAAGTTGACATTGGTGAAGTCATTATTTTTCAAGGAAAGACTAGGGAGCTATTTTAGAGAATATACATAACCGGTCTCCTTGGCTGAGTCAAAGACCCGTGCACTGGGTCAAACAATTGTTTTCTAAAATTATCAGGTTAACAATGGCTTGAGAAGCTATCCAGCTAGAACTAATAATTACAGGCTTTGAGTTGAAGGACAGAATCAGTCACATTCCCCTTTTATCCTTTCTGCAGAATCGTTAACCAATTATGTACAGACAAGAATAGTTTAATCTATTAACACGAATCAAATCCTCACATCCTATTTCTTCCCACGAAAACTTCCAACTTTTTCCAGCAGAGGGAGGGGATGTTTTAGGTTTCTCTAAAGAAATTGCGTACCCCAAATGGAAATTCCTTGACTTGAATTAAATACACCTTTTTTTTTGTTTTAATTGCCTTCTGAATTTCAAGGTTGACAGTACTATCTCAGGTGCTTGCAGAAAGATAAAATAAGATTATATAGCGAAACCAGTTGGAAAATGAATATTATTTATACTTCTTTTAGCTTGTTAGGATATTGCACTAAAAATAACATGAATTGTTATATATTCATTTTGTTCTTTAAATATTGAACAAAGTCTCCAATGGAGACATTACTGGGCCCGCTCGAGCAAATCGATGAACAACAAGAGGACAGTGACAGTGACAGTTCTTTAAGTATATGCTCTTTTAACTAAGAAGATAATTGACCAGCTAATATATGCTTATTTCAGTTTTTTTATAAATTTGGGCTGGAGCGATAGCACAGCGGTAGGGCGTTCGCCTTACAAGCAGCCAACATGGCCAACCCGAGTTCGACTCCTCCGCCCCTCTCGGAGAGCCCAGCAAGCTACCGAGAGTATCTCGCCCGCACGGCAGAGCCTGGCAAGCTCCCGTGACGTATTAGATATGCCAAACACAGTAACAACGAAGTCTCCAATGGAGACATTACTGGGCCTGCTCGAGCAAATCGATGAACAACGGGAGAACTGTGATACCGTGATAACGTGATAAAATTCTCTAAAAACAATAATCACTGTCAAAGAATATACAATAAAAAAAACAATAAAAAATTACAAAACTTTGGGTCTGGAGTAGTAGAACAGCAGATACGGTGCTTGACTTTAATGAACTGGGGGTAGGATTTGATCCTGGCACCACATATGGTCCACGACTCTTACCAGGAGTGACCCCTGAGCACAGAGCCAGGAGTCACTCCTGAGAACTACTGGGTATATGTTCATCAGCAGGCTTGAAGACTGTTTCCAATTCTCAATTTTTTGGAATAAATAATAATAATAATAAATAATTTTTTGCAGTTCACACCAAACATGGCCACGAATGCATGTCCTTGAATTAGTGGTTTTGTATTTTCCGCACCTCTTATTATTTATGTCAGGATTGTTTTTGGTTCACAGGATATTTAAGGAAAAATGTGAAGACATTTACTCTATCCCTAATCCCCTTTTCTATGTAAACCAGGCCTGTGACCTTACTGTCAAGTCTCACATGAATATTATTATTATTATTTTTTATCTAGGAGAAACCCACATGGGCGCAATCTAACTCCCCAACCCATAGTTCACCTTGGGGTTCACTCCTGGTGCTGTGAGTCTGTGTGTTTAGATTACCGTGTACTTTCATTAATCAATTATTAGGGTGCCTGACCCAGCATTACATGTATTCTAAAAATCTATGTGCTCTATTCAGTACTCTAGCTGTCCTAAAAAGATCTTTGGTTGATCTCCTAATTCTTTTCATTTTGGGATGGGATGGTCAGCCCAGCTGGACTCAGTGGCCTTGGGCCCTCCCAGTGACCCCCGTTATTGCAATGCCAGGCCTGCTGTTCGGTTCTCAGCAGCATGGTGCTTGGCTCTGTGGAACTGAGGCCACCAGGACCCTCCCAGCAGTGCTCGGGAGACAACACAGTGTCAGGGATAGAGTTCAGGGCTTTGCAGGCAGGGCTGCAGGGTGGAAGTCCTCCATGCATGGGCAATGTCTTCCCCTCACTCTGTCCCCTGCACTGACCTTTATACTGCCTGTCCTTGTGGGCTGAAGGACAACACGCAGCTGTAACGCTAGGGGAAGTAGACTTTGCGGGTTGGCCTCTTCAGCTTAGGAAAATGCAGTAAAGTTTCTCCATGTCTTGGGTGGCTGGAGCAGTTACATGTCGTAGCGCTAAATCATATTCACTGGCTCACGGTTTCTTCGCACTCATCATACTAAAGGTCATCTCATTGGTTTCCGAGTTTTGGCAGGCGTGAACGCGGTGGCTTTAAACACCGGCGTGTGGGGTTCTGTGAGGCTTTCAGTCTCGTACTTATTACCTTCTGCTGTGCAGGTCCTGCCTGACATTATTTATTTCTCAGGTCCCCTCCTGGCTTGCAGCCTTTGAATGAGCCCAGATCAGTACTGGAAGGAGGAGGGGTTTGTGTGCGGGAGTTTTACAGGTTTTACGGGAGGAGCTAGGGTTAGCAGTTGTGAGAAGCTGGGTTATAGAGAGGCAGACACCCCTCTCGGCAGATGTGATGGACCCCAACCCTTGCCGGCACTTTCACGGTGAGTTCAGAAATCAGAACAAGGGGAGACTCTCTCTGCAGAGCTTTCAAAGGGATAATGTGGGAGCGTCGGAGCGACACAAACACCAGCCTGGAACAGAACACGTTCTTCAAAATGCATCTTTGAATGTGTAATTGTCACTTGAGGCAATTTTCCTTTCTAATCTGGTTCTGAAGTTATGATCAAAGGCAGTGGAAGACCTAATTCCATCTCACATCAAAACATGCTGCCACGTCTACAAAAGGAGGCGCTGATGGCATCTTATGAGGGTTCACACACACAGACAACACGGGTAGCATTAAAAAAGTAGTAAATAATGCTTTAGCATAGCTGTACAAGTTATTGAATTGAGAACCCATTATATTACCCTCAACAATATATATGTAGCACTGTAGCACTGTCCTCCGTTGTTCATCGATTTGCTTGAGCGGACACCAGTAATGTCTCCATTGTGAGACTGGTTACTGTTTTTGGCATATCGAATATGTCACAGGGAGCTTGTCTGGCTCAGCTGTGTGGGTGTGATACTCTTGGTAGCTTGCTGGGTTCTCCGAGAGGGATGGAGGAATTGAACCTGCGTCAGCTGCATGCAGGGCAAATGACCTACCTGCTGTGTTATCACTCCAGCACTAACAATATATATATGTATATGTGAATATATAATATGCATATATGGAGACATATGTGGGATATGTGTGTATACTGATTTATATCGATTTAATTGGCTAGGATTGCTTCTTGAATATCTAGACTTTCAGAAACCCATTACTTATTTGCATTATAATTGAAATTTGATTCTTTAATGGACTGGAGTGATAGCACAGTGGTAGGGTGTTTGCCTTGCAAGCTGCAGGCCCGGCATAGCCGGGTTCCATTCCTCTCGGAGAGCCCGGCAAGCTACTGAGAGTATTTCATCCGCAAGGCAAAGCCTGGCAAGCTACCCGTGACATATTCAATATGCCAAAAACAGTAACAACAAGTCTCACAATGGAGGCGTTACTGGGCCTGCTCGAGAAAATCGATGAACAATGGGAGGACAGTGCCACAGTGCAGTGCTAATGTATTAGATCCCAGAATTGGGAAAGGGGAATTGAAGTCCGTCCAAACCAAGTATGCAAGTATGAGCATTGATTATATAGATCTATATAACTTGGCAACAGAGCCCAGATTTTAGGTGCAAACAGCATTCTGTGTGTGTCTGTGCGAGAATTTTTATGTGTCACTCACACTTGAGTTAGGACCCTGAGGAAAACAGATAGTGTTTCCTAAGCGGGGTGAGCCCCATCAAATCAGCTGAAGGTCTGGCAGGGACTCGGCAGCAAGTGCTCAGGCTCCCTCTGCCTGACTCTGCCTGTTGGCCTATGTATTTGTGCTTCCACAGTCACGCTCACACTGACCAGGGCTCCTCCCGGAGGTTCAGACTGAAGCCCCATCCCAGTCTAGCCAGGCCTTTCAGCTGCACAGGTCTCGGACCTCTATTCTGCTTGGCACCCAGCTCGCTGGCTGCAGAGGATGAGAATTACCAGCCTTGGTGATCAAAGGAGCCACATGCATATCTATATGCAAAATAGAAATAATAATATTTACAAGGATGTGGAAAGATGTGTTTTATATATACATTATTTACAAAGATGTGGAAAAATGTGTTTTATATATACATATATATATATATGTTTATAAGGAGAGCATGTCTGAGTGGGTAGAAGGACTTGGAGTGAGATCAATAGAAACTTGCAGTGCATTTGTTGAAGATGATCAGGAATATCTCGGGGCAGCAGTATTTATGGAGGAGATAGACAGAGAAGGAAAGCAATCAAGGGCGGAAGAAGAGAGTGGGAAGTAATGGGTGAAGAGGCATCAGGGCTTCAGTTATACCAGTGATGTGGGTGAGGGGTACAGCCGGGTACCCAAACACAGACTCAACAGGACTGAAAACACAAGCCTAAACGGCAGCCACTGAGACTTGGTAATGACATGCTGACAGGCGGGTGAAGGGGGGTGGGTGGGGAGGGAATCTGGGGACTTTGGCGGACAGAAGCTGACTCTGGTGGAGGGATTGGTGTGGAATTTCGGTATGCATTGTAGCACTGTCCTTCTGTTGTTCATCGAGTTGCTCGAGCGGACCCAGTAACGTCTCCATTGTAAGACTCGTTGTTACTGTGTTTGTCATACTGAATATGTCATGGGTAGCTTGCCAGGCTCTGCTGTTCAGGCAAGATACTCTCGGTAGCTTGCCGGGCTCTCTGAGAAGGGTAGAGGAATTGAACACAGGATGGCCAGGTCGGCCGCATGCAAGGCAAACGCCCTACCGCTGTGCTATCTCTCCAGCTCATAAACAAGCAAACATATGTATACATAAAGCTCCAGTCAAAGGGCTGGGAGCTCAGTGGTTAGGGTTCAGTCGCATACCCAACAGGCAGCCAATCTGGGGTACGCCTAAAATGCAACTATCAGTAACTTTGTGAAACATGGATTGGTTAATTAATTTTAAAAAATAAAAGAATATTTAGGGCAAGAGAGGAAGTTGCTGGAGGCTTAAGGACTTGATACTTTTCTGCCTTTTTTTTTTCTCTTTCACTATACACCTTTTTTTGGTGATTCTTGATGTCATATTATCTCTTCAGAAAGGCCGGAAGTCCCGGACACTGTGAGCTATCTGGTTGTTGGTAAGAGTTACCCAGGCCCTGATCTCCACCCATCTCACAGTTGCCGTGTGTAGGAGAAAGTAGGAAGGTAGGGACACATTTCCAGTCAGCAGATTAGTGACAAGGCATCAAGGGATGGGGTGTCTGCAAGGCTCTAATGTTCATAAAAGGTGTGCAGCCCACGACGCACTCCTGGCAAGGGATGAGAATATAAGCAGCCCCGCTCTGAGCCATCTTTTCAACATAAAATTAGGAAATTCTTGGGAGGGATTGTGGGTCTTTGATTCTTCTGGAAGTGCCCCTGAGAAGTGGGTTGTTCTTGGCGCTCAGACCGTTTGCTCAGAAAAGTCTAGCAGATCATCCCCGAGATGGAAAGTTGGATTAGAAGATAGCAGGGCCTTGGATCAAAGTCATTTTTGCTCTTTGTTTCTCTGTAATCCTGGTGTTGTCATTATAAACCACATCCACACACTCTGATGCACCCAGTTGTGGAATCCAGTCTGGGGTTTTCTATATAACCCTGGAGCTGTTTGGCGATCAGCATCATTAAACTTGGAATATTTTGATGTTTATAGCAAAACGCTCTTTGTCAGCGGTCATTTCCAAGGCTACCCAACCTTCCCTTAGGAAAGCATGAACTTAATTCAATGCTATCGATTTGTCTATTCTGGACATTTCCTATAAATGGAATGTGTGACCAGCCTCTTGCCCTTTAAGCAGGTTTTGCATTGACTAGATCGAAGGGAAACATCCACTGTTCAAGCAGTTTCTCCATCCAGGACTCAACACTGCACAGAAACACTGTGTTTCTTTGCTTACTCGCACACACTGAGGGGGAAAAAAAAATCGAAGTTAACTTTCTGGCTTTTACAAAGAAGACATGAGGGTTTTGCTGTCTTCTGTGCGTCTGAAACAAGAGGCAAACATTTGAAAACATTATTTAAAAAATATTATGATAGTCAAATGAAAACTATAATTTCAGAAGTGTAAGCCTCTACTTTGTGTTGAATCGAATGGGACTAATTCGGGAAACAAAGCCTTTTAGTTGTAAGGTTCTGCATATTTCCTTTCATTATTGCCAAAGTCGGCTTTATTTTGTTACTTGATGAAGTTAAATCTCTCATTTTAACTCTAATAAAATATATTCAAACATAATTATTTTATTTTTCCGACTTTCATGCTATAGTAATTATGTGCAGCTTCAGGCAAAATTTAATTAAGAATTAAACCATGCTAATCCCTTAAAAAACCTGTTCATCTAAAAGAAAAAATCAAAACCACATTTTCTCCTTAAAACTTAGTGCTCTGTAATTTTAACTTTTTTTTTTAATCACCTAAAGAACCTACGGGGTGAATTTAGAAAATGATATTCTCTAACATTAAAAAGGATTATAACAAGTCAATTTAAATGGCATTTGAAATTTATCTTGGGGCTGGAGACATAGTACAGGAGGAAAGGCACTTACTTTGCATGCAGCTAATGCTGGTTAGATACCCACCTTAGAGCATCCGATGATCCCCCAAACACTTCCAGGGGTCACTCCTGTGCATACGGCTGGGAGTATATCACCCCCACCAGATGTAGCCCCCCCGCAAACAAATTCATCCTGAAGGTGCATCTATGTGTGTATAAGAATCTCAATATTGTGAAGATAGTATTCTTGTTTCTTTTTCACCTCATCCACAAAATCAATTTGATCCCCATGAAAATAGGCCATTTCATGGGTATCAACAAATTGATGAGAAAGTTTATGTGAAGAAACAAAAGGCCCAGAATAGACAGTGGTGGTCACGCTACATGAAAAATTCCACCCCTGTCTTTCTTTACCAATTAAAAAAAAAATGAGTGAACGGGATCACAAACATTTTAAGTGTTGGTCAAGACGTTTTGTTTAGTTCTTTGGGGGGACCATATCTTCAAGAGCTTAAGGGCTAAACCACTATTACAGGGGGTCACTCCTAGTGACACTTAGGGGATCAACCCTGCTACTTGGGCAGATAAAGCAAATAATCCTAAATTACCAGCCCCAATTCATTTTAAAAATTATTGTTGGGGCCTGGAGCAATAGCACAGCAGGTAGGGTGTTTGTTTTGCATGCAGCAGACCTGGTTCGAGTCCCAGCATCCCTTATGGTCCCCCGAGCACTGCCAGGAGTAATTCCTGTAGTGAATGAGCCAGGAGTAACCCCTGTGCATCGCTGGGCGTAACTCAAAAAGCAATAATAATAATAATATAATGATAAACAAAAAACAAAAATTTAAACTTACTAGATATAATCCTTACTGAGACCAAAAGCTTTGTCTTGACTGTTAACATCTGGTGTATTTTTACAACACTTTTACTTTCCTTAATTCTTTGGTATGACAAGTTTACCAGCATAGAACATTCTTCGACCTGGAATAAATGATTTCTTAAAGGAGTTGAGATTCTCGTCAACATCTCAAGACCACAGTGTACATAGGTGCCTTTGGAATGAGAAGGTCATGCGTTCTAGCCCATTACAGTGGGGAAAAGATGGAAAATTTATAACTGTGTTATTCTAAATGTTCCTTCCTCATTGCTCAAAGATTCTGGCATGATTTAAGTCTTCTATCCTTATTATTCTGTAGTTTTAATGACTGGTCAGATTTTTTTTCTTCGCTATTGCAGCTCTCTGCTTATTGCTTTTGTTCTTTTTTATTCTGAAGTGACCTTTGCATAATTTATATTTCTAAGTTTTTCTAACTTTTGGTCATGTTGCTCCTTTTGGTCATTGATCATGTTATCTCAATTCTGTAGGTGACACTGGCAGATTTGATTCCTATTTTTCTCGCCTCTAGTGGGCATACATTTCTAAAATATTGTCTTAGCTGTTGTAGCGTACTTGGTCTGTTCTGAGCCATCGTTCAGCTATGACTCTTTCCTCAGGCAAGTCCATGGTAGGATTTAGATGTTTCTTTCATATGTGTAATAACAAATGAGCAGATAAAGAAGTGAATTCTAAAAAATTCTAAAAGTCACTCACTCTGATTGTTGGTATTAAGATTCCTACATGATAGTCTTGTCTCTCCTTAAATTCCTGCTTTGATTCCTACATGAGTGATTTTTCTATGGCTCATGACTTTCCTCTCGACATGGATTCTGTCCTCAGCATTTCCCTCACAGTGTAGGATGTTTGTGATGGAAGTTTCCTCTTTAGGTTTGGAGAGTATGTGGGAGAAAGATTGTTCCAGTTCTTCACTTTTCTCTGGGCCTCCCGCAGACACTCATATCAGAATATAGCAAACTCCCCTCCTTTTAACTTGTTTTCCGTTGACCTGACCTATTTTCCATGGAATGCCTGTTGTGAACTTGGGATTCTCCTGTTCTCTGAGCACATTGTGTCCCTATCATTTCCTCAGTCAGACAGTCTACAGTTCTTGAAGCTGTGAGTAGTTTGCCTTAACCCACTCAGGGCATTCTAGCATCCATGGGGGAATTTAGTGATAGGAACCTATAGGCTATGCTTTAGTTATTATTTTTTTTTCCATTTTATTTATTTATTTATTTATTTATTGAATCACCGTGGGAAAGGTTACAAAGCTTTCAGGTTTAGGTCTCAGTCATGCAAATATCAAACACATTTCCCTTTACCAATACTTATTTTTCACCATGAAGAACCCCAATAAAACCCCACCCCCCACCCCTCCCAGTCCCTGTGGGGCAGATGAATTCTAGTTAACACTCTATTTGCTTTGATTAGATTCATTGTTTCAATAAAAGATTCACCACTATTATTTAGAGTTTACCCCCCCCCCCCCCCAAATCAGACATGCTGAAAAAGCATTGTGAAGTGATTTGCTTTCTACAGCTGGGTTCAAGAATTAAATGTTGGTTTTGGATTTCTGCTATTTTACTTATTGACCCTGGAAGTATTTCTACTGAAAGTCAAATAGTTAAGAAATTGGTTTCTGTGCTCTGGAGTCGTGGCCGTGCTGGAGAGCTGCTAGTGGGGGGCAACTGGTGGCCTCATTAGGGCGTGAAGGGCGGACCGAAACGCCCCCCTTCCCATGAGGTTTTAGTCGCCCCCACTCCCCCGGCTCATACCTGCTGTCCGCAAGGCTCCCATGCGGCCATCATCTCTCTTTCCAGAGAGGAGAGGGTGACTGGGGCAACACCCTTTCCCCTCCGGACAGACCTGATGGCCTGGATTAACGCATGGTCCGTTCACTTTTCTGCTCCAAGCTGCCGGGTTCTGCATTAAGTCCTTGTGTTTCTGGGGCTGTGGCCGTGCTACAAACTTAACTATGATTTTCAGAGAGAAACGTTGGGTGGTTTACCTCCCATGGATCACATTGTATATAGAGAGATGTCGGCGGCTGCGAAAGCGGCCGTGCGGTTTTGAGGAAAAGTCCTAGTTCCCGTATACTTGAGCTGTGGTTGTAGAGGCTTCTGGTCACCGGGGTTCCATCTGGGGGAGGCGGGATGCGGTACCTACCCCATCTGGGGCTTCCCGATGATCTCGGCTCTTTTTGGAACCTGTTTTTTTTTTTCCTTCGGGATCTGTGGATCCCGCCCTCCATGTTGTCCTTCTCTTCGGCTGAATGCTGTAAATATGGCACTGGGGGGCGGGCTGTGGGCGTGACTTTCGGGATCTGAGGTTACCTGGGAGTTGTAGTCCCGGCAGATTTGAGGAAAAGTCCTAGTTCCTGCATACTCGAGTTGTGCTTGTAGAGGCTTCTGGTCACAGGGGTTACATTTGGGGGAGGCGGGATGCGGTACCTACCCCATCTGGGACTTCCCGATGATTTCGGCTCTTTTTGGAACCTGTTTTTTTTTTTTTCCTTCGGGATCTGTGGATCCCGCCCTCCATGTAGTCCTTCTCTTCGGCTGAATCTTAGTTATTATTTTTGCTTTGCTTATTTTCATGGAAGATTTGTAGACTTAAAAATAATCACCGCCATCACAGTCCCACAGGGCTAGTTACATAGTTAGAGCTCCAGGCTCCCAACTTCCAGATGTGGTCTTCAAAAATTGATCTATTTGTGGCAGTACTTTACAAGCTAGTTTTCTTCTCTCACCTTGATCTCCAACCACTTTTCAATACAGGTATACGTGCCTCTCATCCCGAGGATCACTTTGGAATATTGGTCTAGAGTGAAAAACAAAGCAAAACAAAACACCAAAGTACCGAAGAGAGATTTTTAAATTATTGGTGAAAATATACCCACTAATTAATGAATAACAAAACCTCTGGTCTTTCAGGCAGTTTCTTTTATTTTTCTTTTCAAAAAAGGAACAGGATAGAACCTAATAGATTAGCCAGCACAAAAATAATACGAAATAAGTTTTGAAAAAGATTAATTGACTTTGCCATATGGGCTGGAGCGATAGCACAGTGGTAGGGCGTTCGCCTTACAAGCGGCCAACATGGCCGACCCGAGTTCGATTCCTCCGCCCCTCTCGGAGAGCCCGGCAAGCTACCGAGAGTATTCGATATGCCAGACACAGTCACAACAAAGTCTCCAATGGAGACGTTACTGGGCCTGCTCGAGCAAATCGACAATCAACGGGAGGGCCTTTATTTACTTTACTTACTTACCTGCCATATGCTTAAAAGGATATTAAAAATAACACAATGGCTGTGCTATAATAAAACATTTTCCATTTCTATATATATATGATGACTATCAGTTCCTACATTTACCAAAAAAGAAATAAAAATGACAATTCTTATTTTATTCTATCAATAAGTAATTTCATCCATGGATACACAAACTGATTGAAAAATATATATCTATTCATCTCATTAAGAGATGCATTTTCAGGAAGTTATTGGTTTATATTTAATAATTCCTTATGACAGTATATGTTGTTATCTTATTTTTAAGTAACCGTGTTCTCATAATAATTGTAAAGATAACTCAATCGTAAAATTTTTTTATATTTTAATCTTAATAGTCACAGTATATCCACATATGTGTTAATTATATTTGAAAAATGTAAAGCATAAATAGTTTATAATATATTACAGAATAAAAATATAATTCTAAAAATATACATCTTATAGTATTGTGGCATGGACAAGGTTGAATGGAAATAAAAATTTCAAGAATAAATTTAGCAATATGAATTATTTAATAGATCACATGAATATGAAATTTCTGTAAAGTGGAAACTAACATTTTATTTAAAGTATCAATATTTACCAGAATTGTTAAGTTTTAAATTCTAAATAAATGTACTTTTTTGCTGATTTTTTTTGTGGGGCCATTTATCAAAATTAGGGCCATTTCCTGACTGTCCTCAGGGATCACTCTTTAGGGCTCAGGGACTGTATGTTTTGGCTGGGCTCAAACCTGGGTTGACTGCGTGCAAGGCAAGTTTCCTACCAACTGTGCATCCCTCTGGCCTCAGTAAAAATGCAATTTAAGAAAAAAAAGACCTATTTTAAGGTTAACTTTTAGAAAATACTGGTAAGATCACCAAGATTTTTGGTGTTTTTATTTTAATTTACAGATACAGTGAATTTTGCATTTAAAAATATTAGCTAAACATTCTTTAGTGAATTTACTGCCATTATTTATGAATGAGGGAGGAAATTGGGTAGCATTTCTGTTGAAGAACTTTGGTAACATTTCTGAACTTATGGGCCAGGCCGAGAGCACAGAGGGCCCAGCACCTGCCTTGCATGCTGCGGCCCTTGTTAGACCTTGGCACCCCATGCAGTCCCGGGTGCCTTCCCGGAGATGTCTCTACCTGCAGAGTCAGCAGGAAGCCCTGATAACAGGGAATTTTTGTAAAAATTTTAAACTGATGCTCGAAAGTGAAAAATTGGGGTGGGAGGTGCAAACTTCTCTGAGCACTTCTAGTTAATTAAAAGTATTTGAAGCCTTAATATCCGCTTTTATCTCTCCGTGGTTCTTCTGTAATTGGGTGGCTTTCTGTCTAGTCAGTTTCCTCCTTAAATTCCTCACCTTTCATAGAATGAAGTGTTTCTACCAGAAGCTACCTAACCGTTAAACTCTCCGTTTTATAAGGTTAAAGTAATTGATATTCAATCCTTAGCCTAAAGCCACATTATAAATGTATGTATCAACACAAAAGCAGTGGGAGAACCACCAAAATATGTTAAAATATGGTCAATTTGATGAGGGAAAAAGAATAAGTTCAGTATGATGAAGAGATTGGAGGAGATACATGTGAGAAGATCAGAGGATAATAGTTAAGAATCTGTCATGTTAATACCAAATGTAATAGGTTTTCTAAGCATGCTGGGGAAAGAGCTGTCGAGAGTTGAGAACTGTACAAAAGACAGAAATTACAGTGGTTGACTAGTTGAATGTTATAAATTCGTGGTGATGGTGGAAAGAGAACAATAGAAAAACTAAAGGTTTCTAAGTACTATTATAACATTATTTTCTGTCATTATTTTTTGGGTCACACCTGGTTTTGCTCAGAGTTTACTCCTGGCTCTGTGCTCAGGGATCACTCCTGGTGTAGACCAAGACACCGTATGTGGGATCAAACCCAGGTTGGCCATGTACAAGGCAAGCACCCTGTCCACTGTAATATCTTGCTGGCTTCTGTCACCTAGTTCTGATGACCATTTTCCAAGAGGTGACATAGGACCAAAAAGAAACAAATTTAAAAAGATGCTGAGTTGGAGGTGGATGTGCTTTGGGATTGAGGAGTACAGAAAAGAAATCTGACCAGTGAAAAGTGAGATGTTGCTGGAGCCTTGGGAGTAGCTGGAATCATCCAAGATTTGAGCATACCATAAAAGCAAAAGAGGGTTTGGAGGAATCGTCAAGACACTGAACCCAGATAAGAGCTAAATTGTGCAGAAGACGGAGTCAGAAAGAAAGGGGGAAGGAAAATATTTTTTCATGTAAGTCAGGGAAAGTGAATATTGAACATAGACGTTTTCAGCAATGTTGATTTCTGCTATGGAAGGAGAACCCTGGATTAGGTATATTGAAAATACAGGCAGAAGAAGTTAGTGGAAGGATGAATGAGGATGGAGTGTATGAAAGAGCAATAGACAAGCAATTCTTGCAAGCCAAGATTTCTCCTAGCTCCTCATCCAACCTAAAGTATTGAACAGTTTAATGATGATCAAGGAGAAATTAAGGATGTGCATATAAGAGGCAAGAGAGGGAGATCATTAGAGTGAGTTTTTTCAAGTACAACAATGCTGAATATAATAGAGAGATTAGTCTTTGACTTAGAAAACATCTTTAGGTTTTCATAGGAGGAAAGATTTGATAGCCTCAGCCAGTTGCAGTTTTTGTCATAGAGAAGTAGTTTTCTGCCTGGAATTCTTTGAGGAGGTGGTCAAGATCATATGATAAAAGTTGTGGGAGAAGTGGTGAGCTTGTTATTCAGGGGGATTGAGTTATGCTCTATTGTTAAGTTCACAAATATTATATATATAATAGTTCATAAAGAACTAGAGTTTTGGAATCAACCTCAACTGCTGAATTATTTTGTTATGTTCAAAAATGAAATATGAAGAAAATAAAAAACAGATGTGTTAGATTACATTTTTTGTAATTTCTTTAAAGAACCATTTCCCCCCTACAATATGTGAGAATATAAGAGACTATTATACGAGTTTCATGCCATTTTTTTTGTTTTCAGGATGTCATCTTGATAATTTACACTTTATTAAAATGTGAACATAGCAGAAAATATGTATATAGACAGTAGGATTGTTAATTTTCCAAAATCAAATTCTGTCAGATATTTTTGAACTCAGAGAGACAAGGTTTCCAGCAAAATCTTTCAACCTTTCACGAGAGAATTTTAAAAACATGATCCTGAAATTATAGATTGATATAATTTATTAAAATTCCCCATAAAGGGGGGCTGGAGCGATAGCATAGCGGGTAGGGCGTTTGCCTTGCATGCGACCGACCTGGGTTCGATCTCCAGCATCCCACATGGTTCCCCCAAGCACCGCCAGGAGTAATTCCTGAGTGCAGAGCCAGGAATAACTCCTGAGCATCGCTGGGTGTGACCCAAAAAGCAAAAAAAAAAAAAAAAAAAAAAAAAATTCCCCATAAAGGACTGTTTTATAATAAAGGACATTAGTTGTAGGGAACAGAACAATAGTATAGCAGGTAAGGTGCTTGCTTTGGATACAGCTGGCCGGGTTTGATCCCTAGCACCCCATTTGGTCTCTTGAGTCCAACAAACACGTACCCTGAGTGTTTAGCCAAGAGTTAAGCCCTAAGCACAGCTAAGCATAGCTCCAAATCAAAACAAAACAGAAAAGGTATCTGCTGCAGAATATTGCTTTCTAAAACAAACTCACTCATTTGATCAGGGACCATCAATATCTGGCAGACTCACTTCACTGCGGTATGTTATTTGTGGATGACATTCATGATTCTGCTAAATTCTCTACAATTCTAATAAATGATCTATACATTCATGGCTTTTAGAGGCTAAGTAGATTTCAATGACAAGTGTACTAATGTCAACCTAATGATCAGTGAGTGGCACCACCATTAAGGGGATTGTGAATCTAAAAGAGAAGTGTAGAATCATTGTAGTCGCACCAGTTGTTGTGAGAAGAAGCGTAGTTGTTTCAGTAATCTACTCATGTCCCCTGTTGTATTATATTAATTATTTTTCTTGTAAAGGCTTTCACTTACTTTATTTTCTACTCTGTGCCGCCTGGAGAGTTTTGAAATATGGAGACAATCTGAGTGACTGGAGTCAAACAGCCCTAGGGAAAGGGGGTGTAGGGGCGGAGACAGTCCCAAGGACCAAGGCCCTTGACTGTGACAGTCTCTGGTGCAGGAGTGCCCTGGGTTTCAGAACATTTCCTACGATGACTGTTTGGGAAGGGGAACTGTTCTGTGTGGGAAGGGGAGTGGGGCAGTTACTGGTGTAACTGAAATGATAGCACAGATGACTTCTGATCAGGCCGTTGGGGCACTGGGCGAGAATCACCTGGGCGTGTTTTCTATGAGAAGGCTGAGTTAAATTGATTTGGTTTCCCTTTAGATGGAAACATGAAAGAATCGCTGTGGGAAAAATCACAGTGCCCTTCTAGGGCTTTTCTCATGTTTCAGTTCCTATTCTTAGACTCCTTTTAAGAGCAGTTTTAGGTTCCCAGGGAAATGAAAAGAAGGGTCCCCGAGATTTCGCTGCCATAACTCGTCCCCAATCTCCAGGCAATACAATATGCGGGTCGCAGTGATGCATGGTCATCTGCAGAGTTCCTGCTTTTCTGTCAGGCTCACTCAGCTTTGTACAAACTGTAGGCCTGGACCCCACAGCACGGCATGGTGCCACTGTTATGACATCTGTCACACACCGTGACTTTCACTCCCTCAAAATGACCTTGTTACCCCTGTTCATCCCTTTCTCCTACCAACCTCTAAAAATCATTGATCTCTCTCTCTCCTTTTTTGTAAATCCATGTAATTTTTCTTTTTCCAGAATAAGATGGAATCAGACAGGCCACAGCTACTCATTTAAAATATTTTAAAAATTTTATTGAATCACTGTGATAGAGACCCTTACAAAGCTGTCCATGATTAGTTTTCAGTCACACAGTGTTCCAACACTCCTCTCTTGGCCAGTGTACTTTTCCCAACATCAGTACTCTTGTCCCCAATTTCCCTCCCATTACCTTCCACCCCATCCCCAGCCTGCCTCTATGGCAAGCACCTCTTCGTCTCTGTCTCTGTCTCTGTCTCTGTCTCTCTCTCTTTCTCTCTCTGTCTCTCTGTCTCTCTCTCTGTCTCTCTCTGTCTCTGTCTCTGTCTCTCTCTCTCTCTCTCTCTCTCTCTCTCTCTCTCTCTCTCCCCCCTTTTGGGCACTGCAATTTGCAGTGCAGATACTGAAAGGTTGTCCTGTATATTCCTTTACTTACTTTCAACACACAGTTCTTGTCCAGCGTGATCATCCCCAACTATTATTGTCATCCTGGTCCCTTCTCTATTTTACCTACCCTCAAAACCCCACACACTTGTGGTAGATTCCAACCACTGACCAGTCCTCCTAGCCCTGGGTTACAGCGTTTCAAATTTGACTTCTTTCACTTAGTATGCATTTAAAATTTTGCTCTATCTTTCTATGCCTTAAGGACTCATTTCTTTTTGTATATTTATTTTTTCTTATTTGAAAGAGCCCGTGTGCTCCACGGTAGACTGTGAGCCCCGTGAGACCCACTGTAATAATTTCCTCTTACTCCTTTTACTACTACCAAGAACAGTGCTTAGATCGGATGGGAAGGGAATGGGAGGGGGACTCATTTGTTTTTAGTATCAAATAATATTCTATTGATTGACTGTTTCACAGTTTATTTTTTATTTGTTTGTTTTCCTGCAGGAACTCCTATGAAAATTTGTTAGGATGTGTATTTTGTTTTACGTCCTGGCAAGTTACTGAAGCTATCTATATGTCTATTTTTGTGGCTTTTAGAAATGGAATTATAGTATAACTATTTAAATTTAATATGGATACCATTGAAAATGAATGCATCCTATATATTGTCATTTTTCATAGGTGCTCTGTGTACTTGCTCTACATGTTATATAGAGGCATTTCTTCCATAGTTCAAGTTTGCCTTTGTTATTACCTATGCTATATAGATACTTGATGAAAAACAAACATATATGGGAGTACAAAGAAAACTTTGGTACTAATATTCAGGGTTCTAAGACCAGGATTAATTGGTTTAGAATGCAGTGTGCCAATTACTAGGAGTCTGTGGCTGTAACTAAGCTTTGTCTAATTTTCAGTTCGTGACTTTGGATTTATGATTATTTGCTCATCTGTTTTCTGACAACTCTGGAATTTTTCACCACAAGTATATTATTAAATGCTTCAACCACAGTAAAACAGAAAGAACAAAAACTTCCAGAAAAAATAGTTTTAGGATCAAAATAAATGACTAATAAGGATTATTTTGAAACCATATACTTATTGTGATTATAATCTTAGCTTATTTTTCAATATCCTTCAGGGTCAATATGAGTATGAAATGGAATGATAATAAGAGATATATTTCTATTCTTAGGTTATATTAGAAATATAATATTACTGTATGCAATTAAAATGGTAGAATGATAGTGGCTGATCACTCTTTTATCTAAATGTTATAAAGGAAAAGTATTAGTCTAAATGACTATAATAAAAATCTTACTGTTAGTGGATCCTTAGTCTAGCTTTAACTGGAAACCGTATCTGATGTGCTTAGTTTTGTCAGGACTAATGTCACACAAGTTGTTGTCTGTCATTTCTGGTTGGAATTAACACAGCTATTGGTTGCTGACAAGGGTGAGGCAGACAAGGTAACCTCACTTTGTATAGTTAATTCGTTTGCTAGGAATGTCAAGTAAAATGGTAGAAACTTCTATTTTTTTTTACACTACCATCACAACCAACAAATTAATTTTCACAGATTGTAAACTCAGTTTTCACTGTCTTGGATTGATAAGAGATGAGTTATCCTTAGAGATAGGAGGGGGATTGGATTCTTTGTACTTTCTAAACAATTGCATGTGTGCATTAAAAGTGGCAAATCATAAATTATTTATATTCAACAGATAACATTGGAAGATGCCTTGAATACAAATGTGGAGGGATAATTCAGGAAATGGAGTTAAATTTGTGAAAATATAGGAAGGGAGAAAAGTAGCTTGCATTAGATGGTTTCTTGCCTCAGAGGTTTCTTGTAAAACCCTGGAAAGGATGAATTTACACAAGAATCTATTTTATATCAGAGGAACGTAGTTCTGCAGAAAATGCGTGGATTGGGGGCGGTGTCATTTTCTGATTATTCTCTTTAAGTCTCTGTTTACAGATGGGAATATGGATAGTGATCACGGGATTTTTGCAAAGATCCTGCTTGGCAAGGGAAACCTTAGTCTACGTTCAGAATTGGCTTTCAGTGGTTCAAGGGAATTAGCTCTTCCTCCGTTGTCCACATTGGTGTCATCATCTCTTCCCCTCCATGAGTCACCCAAAAGAATTTTCCAAGAGACATGTGCCTAAAGAATCCTTGATGAGAAAGTTGAACTGTCAAAAACAGCTCTTCTGAGAAACTCTTTTGGAGAGGAAAATGAGAGATTTTCAGATCTTTTGTTTTCCACGGACTGTAATACCAAGGATAGTTATAGGCTTTCCCTGACCTTGAGATGTAAGACACACCCATATTAACAGCATTTAGCAGGCGGTTACATAAGTACTCATTTAACAATTGAAAACAAAAATCAATGGAGGCTCCCCAAACTGTGTATTGTAACACACCTCAAAAACTGAAGATCTTTTTTCTCTTAGCACAGAAATCCTAGACAGGGATCTTTGAAGTAGCTTTCTAGGTTAGGGCTGGAGAGAGATTACACGGGGCAAGACGACTATCTAGAAGGCATCCTGGTTTGATCCCTGGCAAGACATGGACCCCGAGCATGGCTGGGACAAATCAGAGCCAAGGACAGGATGATGTTTAAGTGATGGCTGTGTTTCTTCGCCCTACAATACCCCCGCCCCCCATCAAAGAAACTGCAACAAAAAGTGGTGTGTGAGTGCCAAAGATTATCATTTACCCTTGTGTGTGTAAAATGCCCAAGTATGTTATTTGCCTTGGTGGGTAAATATTTAAGCAGTTCCAGCACCTGTATCTTGGAATAATCCCCAGCAATCAAATGGAATGAACTTTTTGGCCATGTGATCATCTACATGAATCTCCGAACAGGTATGCTGAGTGAAAAATGGCAGTGCTCAAAGACTGAGGAGTTCAGTATTCATTCCATTGATAAGACATCACTGAAATAATCATTTTTCAGAACTCAAGTGCAGATTAGTGGTTGCCAGGGTTTAGGGAATAATGGGAGGGAGGGGGCATGACTGTACATTGTCAAATTGATGCATCCTTGGCAAGACAGAAATGATCTGCTTTTTGACTGCACCACAGTACCTATCTAGCTCTGAGACTGCTCTATAGACCTGAAAGATGAGATCACTGGAGAATACAGGGCAAAGGTATGTGTCTTCATTATTTCTTAGACATGTTAAGTAATTGTCAATGATCTAACAACAACAATTAAAATCAGAAATCAAAATCGTATGACAAGTTCCTTCTTTTCCCATATACTCCTTTGGAAATATGCATCACTCATTTTATTTTGGGGCGGGGGAAGCCCAGGATTTGTAAAATCAAGTTCTTATCTAGCCATCATCTTGCTGTCTGAACTCTTATTAATTACATTTTTTTCTGACTATGTGAAAAAAATCAATTACATTTTTTTTCTGACTAAAGTGTCAATTTATAAATGTATGTGAAATGTTAAGGCAATGCATGTCTGTTTTGTCCTTTACCATTCACATGACATTTTGTATATACTATATTGCACTGACCATCCAGATTTTAAGGTTTTTATTACTCTGCACAGTTCTGTCAGAGGCCTTAAAGGACTTTAGAGAATTTATATCTGTAGCTACCCTCTCCTCTCTACTTAATTCTTTTGCATGTAAGACTGTTGGGTAGAACAAGGATACTTACTACAGCTTCTGGCATAGTTTCCCAATAAATGTTTCAGGGGGAAAATGCACACTTAGTGGGAATAAGCTAACCCCAGATTATACCGTAAGGCTTTCCAAGAGAAGTAGATTTTTTTCTCAGTCTCAATTCACCTAGAATGTTATTTCCTTATGCAAATCTTTAATGATTATGTGCACAAAGACCTCATAAAGTATTGCACTGGACAAAAGATAGAACATAGTCTTGCATGTGTGGGACTCTCAGTTCTATCAAGGCAATTTCTGAATTCCTGAATACTAAGTGGGTCCGGACCCTGTTTAAAAAATAGTTAGGTCCCTACAAAGAGAGTATATGGAGTTAGGCACTTGCCTTGCAGGAGGGTTCCCTGGTTCAAATCCATAGCACCACTTATGTTTCCTCAAGCGTTGGTAATCAAAGGGAGTGAGCCCTAAACACAGAACTCAAAGTAAGCCACAAGTAGTTCCTGGCCCAACCCAAATATATATATATATATATATATATATATATATATGTGTGTGTATACACATATACATGTGCATATATATATATATAGACATATATCTATCCAAAACAATCTCAGAACAAGAGGCTTAAGATCCACATTCTGCTACCCCCACCCTGAATTTCAGAGGAATTTTATGAAGTTGATGAATTAATTGTCCAGGATGCAGAGGCTCTTCCTACTCAGGATTTGAGTTCTCCCATTCACACACTGTCTCAGATACTTCATTACATTTAACGTCTTCTCCCACAGCACAAGAAAATTTCCTTTGAATGATTTTTTTCTTCTCAATTATAAGTGAATTCAACGTGATATAAATGGAAGGGATTGATTTTTTTCCTCTTTTGGAATGTTTCTGTTTATTCACTTTTGAATTGCTACTTCCTAACTGAGCAAAACATTGACCCTGTGAGTAAAATGTTAACTTTATGTAGTTATGACATAAATGTCCCAATTGATTTTACTTAATCAGAACAAGATACATTTTGTCACCATTTTTTTTTTTATAGCCAGAAATTCCAGTGGGGTTAGAGAGGGGAACTCTTCTCACGGCGAGTACTCACTGTGTCTCTCGGCATAAGCAAACTACAATAAGAGAAGTGAAAAACACAAGAAGAAAAATAAATAGTGTATGTCTGTGGATTCTTTTGGTGTCTTATTGGAGCATCTATTCAACAAGTCATTCTCAAGCATCTCTAGTTTGCTTCCACTGAGATTATGCTCTGAAAATTCAATAGATATGCCGCATGACGACGATCGCAGCCGGAATCAATTTAGTCAAACAATTAAAGGCAACATCTTAGGGACTGGGCTAGGTAGTAATCTCTGCAAGTACATGGAAACTTAATGAGAATGAGACCTGATGTTTGAACAGCAGCTAGCCATGTGAAAAAACAAAAGTAAAAGGAAGAATCTTATCACAAGCAGGGATGGCAAAAGCATCAGTTCGCCTAGCCGGAAGTGTATTAAATAGAGAAGTCTGAGTAGAATTAAAAGTTTAGAGTATTTGTTTTTCTTTTCCTTTTTTTTCTTCTTTTTGGGTCACACCCGGCGATGCTCAGGAGTTACTCCTGGTTCATGCACCCAGGAATTACTCCTGGCGGTGCTCGAGGATATTGAATTCCCACATTGGATGCTGGGAATCGAACCTAGGTCGGCTGTGTGCAAGGCAAACGCCCTACCCGCTGTGCTATTGTTCCAGCCCTGAGTATTTATTTTCAGATGGGAAATATATTTTAAATTTTTTGAAACATCGAGGCTACTGATCATATGGTAAAAATATCTCCTTTAGGGGGCCAAGGAGACAGTACAGAGGGTAAGAATCTTTTGTTGCCTGTTGTCTCCCTGGGATTGAGCCTCAGCACCCTACATGATCCCCTGACACCTGCAGGGAGTGATTCCTGAGCACAAAGTCAGGGATAAGCCCTGAGCACTTCTGAGTACTCTTCTTGCCAAAACAATGCCTCCTTTCCCTCTTACATGACGATCGATATCAGGAATTGTCATCAAGTGGGTGTCAGACTTTTGTTCATTTTCTTTTTTACACTGGAGTGGGGTCTTGGGCCACACCCAGAGGTGTCATGAGCTATTCTTGACTCTATGTTTACTAATGACCCCTAGCCACGCTTCGGGTGCCCTACATGGTGCCATGATTGAACGGGGGTTAGCATATGAGATCAGGTACACTCTTTCTGCAGTGCTCTAGGTGCTATTTTGATCACTAAATGAGCTGCAGAGACTAACTTATGTGTTTGAGGGAAACATGGTCTGGGGGATCCAGAAGACAGAAAACATAGTTTTGTTTTGCTTTAGGAAGAACAGAAATACCGCCATGGTTCTTTCTTTCTTTCTTTCTTTCTCTCTTTCTCTCTTTCTCTCTTTCTTTCTTTCTTTCTTTCTTTCTTTCTTTCTTTCTTTCTTTCTTTCTTTTTCTTTTCCTTCCTTCCTTCCTTTCTTTTTTTTGTTTTTGCTTTTAGGTTCACACTCGGCGATGCACAGGGGTTACTCCTGGCTCATGCACTCAGGAATTACTTGTGGTGGTGCTCGGGGGACCATATGGGATGCTAGGAATTGAACCTGGGTCGGCTGCGTGCAAGGCAAACGCCCTACACTCTGAGTGTGCTACCACTCCAGCCCCCATGGTGCTTTCTTAAATGAAAAATTCCAGTTTTAATTCTGCAAGTGTGGTGCAATGCTCACAGTCTGGTCATTCCACGCTGTGCATGTACATGTGATCCTGCCTTCAGCTCGGTCTTTGCTCAGGGGCCTGAGCAGAGTCTTGTAGATAAGAAAAAAGCACAGCTGTGTCAGAGTTTGATGGCAGATTTGCAGGATGCTTCTGGAACTGACCTAGTTACGAGATTTTAGATCAAGAACCACCGAGGATTTTGTTTACTGGCATAGCTAACTAGCATTATCTTTGGCTAGCAGGGTTTTCTATGATCACGAAGCCGGTGCTACAATAAATTTATTTTCTGAGATTGCCATCGAAAAGTGTTGAGATGAATTCATTTCATCTTGTATCTTGTGCCTGACTCACTATTCATGTTTTAGCTGAGACCGTTGGATTACTGAGACTACTATGAATATATCAAAAATGGTTGTGTAATTTTGGAACAGGATATTGATAGTTGCAGGAAGATTAATTTTGAAGCCAGTTAGTGATATGGGTCTAGGCATTTTGGCATATTCTTAGTTCATATTGACAAAGCTCATGACACCGAATCTATAATAAGATATTTCATATGAGTATGTTGTTAGAAATAAGTTTCAGAGAAAAGTGAATATCAAACTGTCATGTATAGTAACAAATTCTGGTCACTTAGACAAATCTATCTCTAAATGGCCCAATTACCCATGACTAAAAATTGTCACTTGCCCTTCATGTACTGAAACAGGAAAATATGTAATTGAATAATGGATAAAAGCTTGTTATCATTTATACAGGAAATAGTAAGTGCGTTGCGTAGCAACATTTTGTTATTCAAAAAAAGTTTTGATCATGTAGGGTGGAAGAATATTTAAAATCCCTGTGGGTCATTCCATGAGCACCAGCTTTCCCTGGTGGCAAGCGTTCAGAAATGCATACTTCAAGTGTCTTAATCCATGCCAAGTTTGTTTAACCTTGCTTTCCTTTGTCTGCTACTGGACAGTGACAATCTGCTGAAGATTGTGATGTGGTGGTAATAGGAGAGATCAAATTAATTTAAACTGCTAAAATCTGCCTATTTATATTAGTCCATTTTGTTTCATCAGAAATACTGCCACTTTTTAGTGTCACCCCCAAGGTACCCACTGTGTCCTCGGTGTCCAGAGGCTAAGTGGACTCTTGTGATGCCTGTGTATCCAATAAGGGTTGCAATCACTAGTAAAGGGAAATGTTCTAACACTCCATTCCTATCCATAAAATTGCTGAAGCAACAGGACAGTGGGGAGGGTGTTTGTCTTGTATGTGGCCAACCTGGGTTTGATCCCCAGCATCACATATGGTTCGGAAGCACTGCCAGGAATGGCCCCTGAGTGCAGAGCCAGGAGTAATCCCTGAGCATCATCAGGTGTGGCCCTAAAACATTCAAACAAAAAATGTTTCCATTAGAACATATTCCCAAGGGATGGCTGTTGATTGAATGAATGAAGAAAAAGATAAGCTTTATTTTGAAAGAGAGTCTTCTATTTAAACGTTAGTTTAAATGTTGGAATGCAACATAAACGCTAGAATGCACACGGGATGCACATGCTGTGCATTTGTTGGTCGTGCATGTGCCCAGTAATATAAACCGGTGAGTATGAGACTTAAAAGATTAGAAAATCAAGAAGCTATTAGTCACTTAAGTCATAAAGGAAAACCCAAATTTCAGATAATCTTTCTACTTCTAGGCATCAACCGAAGGGATTCAGTGTCATCTGAACTCTTGTTGCATTTATTTATGTTTTCAATAATTGCAAGATTATTGAAAAATCTCTAATATATTATTAGAA